TTGGCAGTCATAGTGTGGGTAGCCCACTGACTGTCCTACATTATGACATCATCAGATGGTTTGCTAGGACAAAAAGACAGACATTATTAAGGACTGAATGTGAGGGCAGAGATTCCTGGGAGACTTCATTGTGGCTATGAAGGCCAGAGGAGAGGACCTGACTGCTGCCACCAGGGGGAGGTGAGAGCAGGACTGGACACTCCTCTCACTGAGTGGCAGCTGCATTGGGCACAGAAAATCTACCAGAGAGAAAAATCAGACTGGACATGAGTTCACAGACATCAACTACTGGACAGATGTGGATGACAGCTGGAAGATGTCATTATGCTACTGACAGGAAAGAGTTAACTGATTTGTACAATTCCAATTTTAACGCATGGACAGAGTGACACAATGTAAACGGCAATTTGTAAAAAAAAAAAAGAAAAAAGAAAAACATAAATTACATTTAAAAAACAACAAAAACTTGACAGTGGTGAGGACGACAACAAACATTGTGGAAATCTAACGTGTTGTTTCTGTAGATCTGTGACTAAAATAAAAGACTAACATATTCAATTCAGCTTCTCCAAATCTATTTGTATATCCATCCTTCTCACTACAAAAGAGAGTGATTACACGGCTATGATGAAGTAAAACTACCGTTAATTACCTCTGAAGTCTCTGCACTAGTTCAGCCACCAGAGAGTCACAGATGCCAGGGTACGTTTGTTCTGCCAGGGAAATGGCCTTTTGTAGTTCTTCAGCGACTTCAGGGTTACCATTGCTGGCCTCTCTCTTTTGTTTTAGCTGTAAAAGTCATAAAATCAATTCAGGATGAGTTTTTCTAAAATACACAAAAAAAGAGGTGATTAGTCTTAGAATTAAAAGCATTGTTCAGTTGGGGCCTTGTGTGCAGTACCTCAGAAAACAATGGAGAAAATATAGATAATAAGCTTTGGGACATTGGTCGTTTCGGACTCTTGGGAACCTGATGGAACAGCAACAATAGTTAAGCAATTTTATGGTGTAAATCAATTATAGTTTATGTTGTAACCCTAACAGCAGACAGGATATTACAGTCAATTCTTTTATATCTTCTTCCTTGTCCAGCTCAGCAAGCTGTTGTGCTCCATTCTGATCCATTTCTTTGATAGTGCCGAAATCCCATTTTCTATCGGTTACCTTTCCTGGAGGTGCTTTGTCATCTGTCTCACTGAAATCGGATACATTTCATTACTATTTAAACCGTCCATCACTCTGCTGAATAGTGATGCTGCAGACGACTCACTCATCAGAATCCTCGGAGCTGGATTTCTCCTGAGACTGCTCTGATTTCCACCTCTTGTATCTGTCGATCAGTTCCGTCAGGTAGGAAGTCTTTTTGGCGTGTCTCACAATGTACTTGTGCTTTAACAGCTCTTTGGCTGTCGGCCTCTGAGGAGATCACACCACAAACCACACTGTACATGTTAATATAACCATTCTCCGTGTAGTTACAATTTTAGTTTTCCACTTATAAAAGTTGTTCAGTCTTACAAAACTGGGCTCCTTGTTTAGGCAGGCTTCCACAAACTCTTTCAGTGGTTTGCTAAAGTTTCCTTCCAGTGTTGGGGGATTGTTCTTTGGGATGAGAAACAGAACCTTCATAGGATGAAGCTCGGAGTGTGGTGGCTCTCCTTTAGCCAACTCTATTGCCGTTATTCCCAGTGACCAGATGTCTGCCTAGAAACAAAAGGTAATGGTGAGAAATGCATTTAATGACTTGGACGACAAGCAGCTGACAAGCCATAAGGAAATCAAAACAGCCCAACTCAGTGTTTTCTTTTTACCTTGGAGTCGTAGGCAGACTGCTTTATAACCTCAGGCGCCATCCAAAAAGGTGTTCCAACAAATGTGTTTCTCTTTATCTGTGTGTCCGTCAGCTGGCCGGCCACACCAAAGTCCGCCAGTTTGACTTCCCCCTGTTCTGACAGCAGGACGTTGGCAGCTGAAAACAACAGAGGAAAGTTGGAAAATATTCAGGAAAGGTTAGGATTATTATTAACAACATTTTCTTAGTTTTCTCACTACAAACCATACTGAATGCAACACTAAAACTAACTAAAACACATTTTTGCAAATTAGGTTATAATTTATTTATCCATTATTTCATTTTTTTTTTTTTGCAAATTAGTGAGAGTTTTTATAGTCTCCAAAACTTTACCTTTGATGTCTCTGTGTATTTTCTTCTCAGAGTGCAGATACTCCAGTCCCTTCAAGATTTCCCTCAGTATCGTGGCAATCTGCATTTCATCTAGAGCACCTGGTTCCAGCTGGATGCACAGATGTGTGAGGGTGACATCAATTTTGTTATCATTACATAAGAATTAAGATACATAAATGCATTTTCACTATGAAAAAAATGTGTTTCTTCAAACTGATCTTTTATTGGCAACTTTGACATATACTTACCAAATCCAGGGCTGAACCTCCACCTAAATATTCCATAATGATCCATAACTTTGTTCCCTAAAAACATAATCAGGCATTTAGTCCACACAGTATTTAAAAACCAGTTACAGCTAGGAAAAAAATTAGTAGAAAAAGCTATAAAAAAGTCTTTGATTTAACGATTTTAGGCCCATACTGCCATCTACTGTACTAGTGTGTGTAGTCCCAGGGTATGACCTGAGCCTTGATGAGCAATTCATTTTTTATTTAAATCCATGCCAATTGTCACATTTGTACATCCCTACCATGTGCTACCTAGCTAACCACAGTACTACACGTGAAACTGAAACTCAAATTCATTATAACTACTTCAAATTATCATTCCTACTAGTAATACAACTCTGTATGTTTTCAGAGAAGTGCTGTGTGTAGTATTAGGACAGAGCAGGAGAAGGACATAAAGATAGATGATGTTCTCCCCTCTGTGAATGTATCTACAGTTACAGATGGCTGTACTGAGAAGTCTTGTGTTCCTGTGAGAGAAGTTCACACAGACAAGCAGAGTCTGGCACTTCAACTTTACATCTGCGGATGTGTGATCTTATCTGTGTGGTCAGATTTTGACTTTGTTTGAAGACTAATTTTTATTTGTTTTCATATGCAACCTGCTAGTCATGACTTTGAACTTGAGCAGAAATTTAAAGGCTGATACAATATAAATGCTCCACTGGTTAGTTTAATAAATATGTATTCATTCTTTCAGTGATGCACTGTTTATCCCAGCTTTTTTTAGGTGAGAGTTTTGGTTGAACAGTTCAGTGTAGCTCTTCTTTTTATAATTTACGGCAATTCATTATAATATGTTTTACATTTATGTAATGACATGAATTGACATTACATTGCATGGATTATGCTAAATACTCCATTTCATTCTATTCTATATGATTCTATGTTCCTTAGTAGACTACACACAAACTCAATGGAAAAACAGGCTGTTGTTAAAGGCTTAGTGACCACCGACGTGTGTTAAGTTCGATGATAAACGTGTAATTACATCTACTCACTCACACACGCACACACAGCACAGCACAAATGCCATACTTATACACTAAACACAAAGCAGCCATAATTCTCTTTTCCAGCCAACAGCATACTTTCAGCTAATGGACCACTGCCACTCCTTATGGCTGTTAAGTACCACAGTAAATATTGTGAGAGGCATTCTAAGCACCATCACATGTAAAGGTGAAAATCTACCGTACGTAGAAAACGTGACTTGAAACCCGCTGTTGCTGTTGTTCAACTCCCACAGGAGACATTTTTGTCCTATTCAGCGCTAGTTTGGATTATTTATAGAGATCACACTGCATGGGACAGTAGTGTGTTTGAATTAGTTGTTTAAATTCACAGCACATAAATGTCACAGGAGGGTCGCTTTGGTCTAATGCTGTTTATTTTAACAGACTAAATAAAAGACTAAAGATAATACGAAAATAAATGTGTGGCCAACAATGAAGGTTTGAACTGCAGCAATGAAGACAACGATCAGACTTAACATATCCATGACTTCAACAACAGAAATAATTCAAACTAACAAGATACTTCAATCCTAGGTCAAACTTCAGTGTGGGAAATAATGCATCACCATAATATTAAGGATTACCTTGAGATAGGATCCAAAGTATTTGGTGATAAATGGACTGTCACACTGACTGAGGACGGTGATTTCCTGTTGGATGTCCTCTATGTCATCCTCCGCCTCCTCCAGATCAATTATTTTAATGGCCACAACCTTTTGAGTCCGTTTGTCAATGCCTTTAAAAACTTCCCCGAAAGAGCCTTTTCCTATTTTGTCCAGCTTGGTAAAGAGCTCCTCTGGGTCAGCTTTGAAATTCTGTGTAAGAGAGATGAGAATGGGGAAAAGAATTAGGAGATTTTAGTCAGGAAACTTACATTGCAAAGGAAAGCAGCAAACATTCAGCAAATTCAGTGTGGACTTTAAAGTTCAATATAAGTAAATACTGTAAGTAATTATGATTTTACAGTTGTGTTCTGCTGTTTTGCATTGGTTGACCTAATTGATCACTGATAGAGTCAGGAGGTTAAAACACCAGAACTCATTATCACCAGTGCCCTGTCTGCTGTGCATAGACAAGTATGTCAAGTCAAGTGTAAGTTTTGTTTTGCATAACTGAAACCTTTCTGTTCAAGGAATATATACATAAACACTCCACCACAAGTTTGCTTCGTTCTAGAAATTAGCATGTTACAACCACACTACTAAGATGCACTACTTAAAAATACACATCTGTTACTCAAAGCTCAAACCCAGAGAAACTTCAAACAATCACCTGAACCCTGATGATCTAATTCATGTTTAATTGGTTAACTAGTACCAGCAGTGGCCAATAAACCTATGTATATTCTGCAGATCAATGGGAAAGCAGATTTCTACAAATTGTTTCCTGTATTCTACTTGTCTGTATGGACAAAAGTCAGCTCAGGCCAGGCAGTGGAAAACTGCACTCATTCCAACATGAACATGGCTCCAGATATAGAGATAGATGAATGGGAGTCTTTTTGGGAAATTGTGAATTATGTGAATAGATAAATTACATAATCTTAAGTTACAACTTTCCTAAGTGGCTACATTCTGTACAAAGGATAATGATAAGCAGTAATTCCCCACAATTGGCTGCAGAGTTAATTTAAAAATCCTTCTCAATTTCAAATTTGCTCAGTTAAATCTATGTAGGGGACCACACTGTTATATTTTGCTGAACTATTTGAAAGAGCTGAGAAATAAGCATAATTGAGGTTCCATGCCTTGACCAGCAAACAGATTATACCAATTTAACATTTTTAAAAAAACTTTCCTTGAGAGCTTCAGTTAGGCTGAAATCATTTGACCATAATACAAATACAACTAAGGTCTGATGACACCCCCCACCAAGGTCTGGACAGAAACTAAAGGACTATCTCCTGACTTATTGACTGCTCTTAATGGCTTATTTCCCCATGGAGCACCAGGAGGGGGGAGGAGGTAATGGTCTTCTTGATGGCAGTTCAATTTTCCTCCACATAGTTCAATCACTAGACTCAAATGCTTGAGTGGTGTTTGCGCCGTGCCATCATTTCAAACACAAACATAGTAAAGACTCAATTTGAAAGCTGCAATTTTTGATTAGTATATTTTTGTTGTGGATACAAATACATTTAATTCAAGTTTGATATTTTAGCAGTCATCATTAGACCTCAGCACAGCAACATAGCTCAATGGTAAAACAACCAGGTAACCCAGACATAAGCATTTGATCTGTCAGCTCTTGGTGCAAATTTCTGTTATTGTGCCCCCTGAGATCAGTTTCCTGTAAAAGTCCTAATGCATGGTGGTCAGGCATTTATGGAAGGGGGGATGAGTAGCAGAAAAAACTGCCAAGGGGCAGTGGGGAAAGGGTGTCTTTATTTATGAAACAAACAGGAAGGTTTGTGCAAATTAGAGTAAATGATGAACACAACACCAAGACGACTAAGATAACCCTGCTGTAATTAGCCATTAAGGTGACAATTATAACTAGAACGTTTGTTGTCAGTAAAAATAAAAAATAAAAAAACAAAATAAAATTACAAAACTGTGACCACTCACTTGCTTTAGTCACAGCTGGCAGATGTACTGTAGCTGTATGTAATCTTCCACTAAAAGCATGTGTTTGATGTTCTTCGATCTCTACCACTGAACCGTAGTTGTCTGGTGTCAAGCCTGCACCACACCCCTTTAGTCTGATGGCTTCGTGCCAGTTCTGTCTCTTTCTCATCCGTCTGCTAAGTAAGCAGCAGACTGGACAAACCACTACATCTTTCAGACACATTTGGTCTTTGCATGCGCTGATTACCGTCATGTGGGTGTTGTCAAAAGAATATTATAATAATAGTCACATATTTGTGGGTTATGTAACACAAGCAGACACATGGTATCAGTGAGATCATGTGCTGACTGATCTTTTATTCAATTGATGAAGCAAATCAAGAAATTCAGTCAATTTCTAATTTAACTGTATAAAGAAGGGCTTTCATACAAATACAATTAAATACACCAACACTAATTTTTAAAAACAAGCATAATTGAAACATCTCTTCATCGCCATCTCCAATAAATGTAGTATTTAAAAGGTACAATATGCAGGATTTGATCGATTCTAGTTTTAAAATCACAAACCTTTAACTGTCATTAGGAAACAAAATGTTTAGTTCCCTCAATGTGGGAGAATGTAAAAACATTGTAATTCAACATGGGCGAACACAACCATTCATCCATTTGAAGATCTTTAAACTATGCATCGTTGTCACTATTCATATGCAATCAAAGTGCACTTTGATCGCTTAATTTTTTTATATCTCTGCTGCATTACAGTCAATTGCTCTTTATTATTGTAAGTGATAACCGCCTAAATAAAGTTGGTAATCAGTTTCCTGGTAACTTGAGGTTAAATTCCAGAAGCGGAATTTGTACTTTATATGCCGCATCATAAATGCAATCTATTTCTTTTCCATTTCACATGTACATGGAGTTTTTACTCATTATTTGGTTTATAAAATCATTACTGGAATCCTTGTATAAGAACATATACATTTTATTTTGGTTTAGAATAGACGTCAGAACTAAACTAGACATTATTGCTTTCAGATCTGCAACCTTGTAAAAGTTTTGGTAAATCACTCAATTATTTTTTAATTAATTTATTCTTTAAATTAACGCTGTAGTAGTTTAAATTGTCATACGACTTGTATGGTTAAACCAAGGAACGTAAGGATTTTAAGTCCCGTCGTTAGCTTAGGTTTATACCATTAAGTTTTAAATATGACACTCAAACACGTCAACATTTCTTTGTGATGGAAAAGTTACTATGACAACTTTCTTTGCTGATAGCGAAGTCCTCCTGTTCTTAGCACTGACCTCAAATATTAGGTGAATTAATTTAAATATGAAGTTTATACCTGAATCCCCGGTAGTCCACTCTGAATAGGAGAGTGAGCCATGGCGTCAGATCGCTCTTCTGCTCGCTTTATTGGCAGTTAATTTCCTCAACACACGAATATTTTTGACCAGGTGCCTGTTTCAAGTTGTTCAAAATAGTAAAAGAGGTCTTGGTGTTTCTCTCTTGAAATTCACAGGACTTCTTAGACTGTAGTCGGAGCCGCTTGTCTTCACCTCCCTTTCCTTCCGCAACAAGAGAGTGTTAGCGGTGTTAGCTACTTTAGCAGGTAGTTAACGGAACAAATGTACCTCCCACTGTGGTCTCTTTGTCAGAGGTAGGTATTTCCCTGTGTAAACGCCTCGAATGTAATTTCAAAGTGCTGCACTTGACAAATGAATGCACGCTGATATCTTCTTGTACTGCTTCTTCTTCTATTCCCTCATTACTTCTCTCCAAAGCCCGGCGCCATCTTGCTTAATGTCATTTACGATTTCCGCACAGCCAATCAGAGGAGTCTGTTTGTGTGACGCAATCGTAAACTAACATACGTCACAGGAAAACGGATGTCCGCACAGGTGCCGAACACGTGTATCCATAGAAAAGTTTTTCTAGGCACAAAATGAATTCCAATATAATAACATATCAAATAATAGTAAGGGAATACAAATAAACAAAAATAGATACTTATTTAAAATAAATTATTATTTAAACATTATTTAAAAACAATTTAAAAATGTATTTAATATAAACGGTTTAAAAATAAATAAACAAAAGTTTATTACAAACCAATAAGTGTCATTTTTCTCTTAAGAAATAGGTGTAAATAATTTGTGATTTTCAACAATTCATGTTTTAGAAAACGCTAAATTCTATAGCATTTTTTATTTAATTTAATTTAAAGTCAAGCTAAGAAATGTCAGTTAAAGTGTTAATCTTCAATACATGAATGTTAAAAAACTGTGAAGGATATTCTACTGAATTAAAACTGTGATGTGCTACAAATGTGTCTGTAAAGCATACTGGTCCTCAATATGTTACATTTTAGATGTTATAAAACCAGGCAGGTTTTTATGTGAAAATGTAGATTTAACTCAATGTTTTTTTAAATATATATGCGTGTGTGTGTGTATGTATGTATACATAAATATATATCTATATATAGATATATATATATAGTTAGACAGCTTATACTCAAAGTGTTCTTGTATCTTTTTAGTTGTGTTTGTGCTTTTAGAGATAGTCATTCCCAACAATAAACCACAATAGGATTTATTTTTAATGTCAACAGGTATAAAACTTACACAAAAAAGTGATGGGGTAGTTTTGTGCGATAAACAAATATTAGAAGCAAATCATTATTCTTCTTGTCTTAAATTTAATAATTTCTTAAAAAGCTTAATGTGCCTTACTAACAAACATGAAACTTACATATATATGGAAATAAAATAAAAAATAGACACATACATTTACAAAAGGAATACTGAGAGAATTACTATACATTTCCTGCCTAGACTCAGACTGTTATACTTTGGATAGAAATATATAAAAATGCCAATCTTGTTGATTCTGTGTGTTCACATTCGGGTCTGTTTGCCTTTAACGTCTTCAATATGGGATTCATCTGAGTGTCTCTTAGCCATCTGAAAGCCTGGCTTCTTTTGTTTGCTCTTATCATCCTCATCATCGTCAGCATTTTTTCTGAACTTGGCCTCAATTTCTGCAGGGTTGATGTAGGTGTAGAAATAGGCCATGAAGGAGAAGATGACACACACTACAACCAGGAGAGAGGCAAAGAGAACATACTCCGCCCACTGTGAGATAAGAGGTGAGAGGAGGTCATTATGTGCTGTAAATATCATTTGATTTGCAGACATAAATATGTTTAGTCAAAGATGGTGGGAGCTGAAATCACTGTGGGACATTTTACCTTTTTGGGAATCTTTGCAAGCTCAGCCACAATCAGGACAATGAAGTTGCCAATGGCAACAGTCAACAACCATCCTGCCTGCAGCACAGCTTTCATGTTGCTGGGTGCCTTGGGAATAAAAGTACATTAAGTTAAGAATTACATATAAAACGATTTCACATTTATACCAGAAACACTGTTTATTTAAATTTAAATTAATTGAGTTTATTTTTTTTTACCTGTGAGTATGAAAATTCCAGGCCAGTAACAGAAAACATCACTTCACCAACTGTTATAAAAAAGTACTGTGGGACCTGAAGGGCCATAGACACAGAATTGGGCTGGATGTCTTCTATTCTAGTGACAGAATCCTGACACTAGAACCGAAAGAAAAAAATATAATATTAGACCAGCTGAGATTTTGAACAACCTGAACAAACTGTCTATCAGAATAGAATACAAGATTATCAAACATCACATGGAGGATGGTGATTTGATACAGATTTTAATTCAGCTGATACTTACAGAGGGTCCAAAAACTAGATCACCACGGATGAAGAAAGTGTTTGAACTTCCATATCCAAATTGTGTGCTATAGTCACATGACTGTGGACCTTGCTGCAGTGTAAATGTGACCCTGATTCAATATATATATATAAAAAAAAAACATTTCAGTACTGTTTGTTCAAAATGTTTTGGATTAACATCAGGGAAGTTCAAATGAAAAACAATTCTTACTTTCCATTTCTGATTTGAGAGTAGTTGTAAAAAGACAGCGGCTCAAAGACTCCAAAGTTGCTTGTAGACGTTGATATGTTCACTGCTTTACTCATTCCATTTATGAAACTGACAGTTTTTTTAAAAAAAAGGAACAAAAGTAGTAGTAAAAAATGTAAAGCAATGAACAATTTGCTCTTAATGCTTAATGCTTATATTTCCTTTAACATAACTCAACTTTCTATGATTCATTTTCTTTCATGTGTTTACAAATTTACCCTTATATTAAACTCACCGGATTTCATTGATGCCTTCATCTGGTTTAGAAGTCAAATCAATAGACTGAGAAAGAAAACAATGTCATTATTAAAGACATATCAGGGACATAAGATTTATTTTATCCTGATGTATACATCACACTGACCAGAGGCCATTTTCCATGATGGCTGGAAATAAGAACCGTTTGTCGCATCCCGGCAGTTAAAGTGAGTCTCACCACTTCAGATCCCACAACGGAAGCACTGATTGTTCCAGGTTGAAATGTGTAGTAGTCATTGCTGGCCTGTGGAGGACATCATTAGTTTAAGCTGTGTCAGCTGTGAGATTAGTAAACAACAGCTTTTGAATTGCAGGGTTTGACTAATTGACAAATGTGGTGTAAAAGTCACTGATAGGAGGATATACCTGAGCTGGAAGAAGTGTCAGAGGCTCATGTCCAGGCAGGTCAACTGTGACAGATTCATTGGCAGTGTTAATTAACTTCAGCTGACTCTGGGAGCTTGTTGGGAAAATGGGCAGCGTTTTCTGAAGGAAAAGACAAAATGAAATGTATTCTCTTTATGGTGTAGTACACTGTTAAGTTTTAATATTTGTAATAGAAAAATAAAGAGTGGATTTACTGGTTTAATGTGAAATACTGTACTGTCTACTTACATCGATTTCAACCTGAACCAAAGCAGCACAGACAAAGGCTAAAGCCGCCATAAACATCCCCACTGTCATTCTTTTCAGAGGTCTGTTGAATTAACATCAAGTTAGGCAATAATATACACAATTTTATTACATACATCTACATGTGACTACTGCTATATCAGCAACAAGGATATAAAGGCTAGCCCAATGCTAAGCTTTGTAGCTTTCTTGCTAAGGAGATTATAATTTGTAGGGATGTTAGACAAATTTCTCTAAAATATTTGAATCATTGTTTTTATATATATATTGACTAAAACTAGTTCAGTAGCAATAAAACAAGCAGTTGTATGACACAGCTAATACTGCCAATTATCTTTTTTTCTTTTAAAATATTATTTTGAAGTATTTATTTTGGTATCAAGAAGCTACATCATGGACAGCAAATATTATGTGGGCGTTCCATAATTAAAGAAAATACTTACGTGAAGTTCAGGCCACACTTTTTGATCAGTGGATAGATCAGACTGTCCATGATGGGCACCAGAGTCAGGATCAGGATTGGGTTGAGTGTCTGTCAGTTACATTATTTGCACCATGTTGTCAAAAACAAAATGCTGAAAACCAATGATGAGATACATCTAACTGAAAAATATAATATTTTATTTTACCTGCATTTGGTCTGGTTGTATGACAAGAAGTCCCTGCAATACAAAGGAAGTAATTAAAACATTAAGAGGGGAATTGGACTCACCAGTTAAATAGTAGTGACTATCGTTTGTACACTGCACACTGTGCCCTGTATAATGGACGATTTATCACCATACATTTGGGCACCGTTACAAAATATGTATATATGGTATGTCCACTATATAGTGAGCTATGTAGGGTGTTTGTGTGTGTGAGAAGGGGTTTGGACGCAGCCAATGTCTCCAGACTTACGAAGTTTCCATCCATGGTCGTGGCTTGTAAAGTCCATCTAGAGCCCTGAAATAGAAATTAACCATATATTGTTGTGTCCAGTGTCAACAATGCCACTTTTGCCAATTTTGTTCAGACAGACTTCAAGGTACCTTTTGGTCAAACAGGGTCCAAAACATTGGCAGTGGGATGTATAAAAAGAGGACCTTCAGAACCATTTTGATTTGAGCAATGAGGAGTTTCTACATGAAGGCAATCAGAAGGTGAATGGTGAACAGCCATTAGCATCTTGTACCATTTGTGATAAAAGTAATTTAGGTAAAGGGAGACATACATCATATTTCTCCTCGGCCCAGTCCATCCAGTGGTCCCTCTTTGGGTAATGCTTGCTCCTGTGCCTATAGCGGTTTTTAATCGCAAACTGATTGATAAAAAAAGGCATAAGGTAAAAATGTTTTCAGAAACATCTAAAGAAGCAATGGTTTTACCAGCACAATGTTTTAATTTGGCTCACCCCGATGCATTTGGACACGTCCAACATAATGTTTCCCTGTGGCTCAGCCTTGTAGTACATACCACTTCCAACGATGAATACCACTGTTCAGGACAATGGGTTAAAAAAATCATTACATTTTTTAAATGCTTTTATTTATATAAAATTATATAAAATGTTGTATATTACTGCAAGGACTAGAGGGAGCAAAGGGTTAGGGTTGATGGGTCACACATCTTAGCAGATAGAGAGCAGCAGAATTGAAAAGGAAGGTCTATAAGACAGTAGTGAAAGCTGCTATGATGTGTAGACCTTATGTTAAACTGGAGTTGGTGGAGCCTCAAAAAGTAGTAGAAGCAGAAGAAGAAGAAGAGGAAGAGGACAAGAAAGGAGAAGAAAATGTATAGAGTAATAAAACGTACCGAGTGCGACCACCATTAATGCTGCAGGGACACCAAAGGCCAGGGAGTAACACTTCTGCTGACTGTAGATGCCACATTCCTGAGCTGCAGATAAAGTCATTTATTATCCAGTTACGATCTGAAATGTTTAACTTTATAACACCGACTGACATCACGTCCTTTTCATCGACTCTACCTCTGAGAATTGGAGTAATAATGGTCGACAGCAGACTCCCACCATTGATGCACAGGTAGAACACAGAGAAGAACGTTCTCCTTTGCTTTTCCTGCACACATTACCGTTTGTCAATGACTTCCTGTCCTGCACTCGAAATATTTTAAAACACACGAGTCAAGGAGAAGAGTGTGATTTCCTGACCTGATCATCACTGAACTGGTCTCCACCAAAGGCGGCCACGCAAGGTTTTATGCCTCCAGTACCAAGAGCAATTAGAAAGAGGCCCACCATGGACATGGAACTGAAATACAAAGAGCACAAAGGCATTGGCATCAGGGAAGAAAAGGAAACGTCCTGAATTACAACCTTTAGTTTCTATCACACTTTCTAGTGGAGGAGAAACTCACACGTGGAAGGTCATGTTGTTGGGAGTCCCATCTCTATCTGTGTCAGTGATGTCATGGACTGCACTGATAGCCATTGTGATCTGACCAATTGCATAAACAATGGACAAATAGATGATAGTCCTGGGTAAGAGACAAAAAAGAGGACAAGTGAGAACAGAAAACAGAAAAGCTGTAAAAGAAAACATTGTCAGTTATGTTGCCACTGTCTTTAATTTCCATTTTTCTTGTGTTTTACAGCTACAATACATTACTTCCACCGAGTATCTGAAGTAACTTTTATCGTTATTCTTTCTCCACTCCGTCATGAATATTGTCCCGTTCTGAAAAGCTGTTCTCTAAAATCTCCTCTGTTTTATGATGAGGCCTGTTAGCATTTCCAAATGGACCCTGGCAAACACTGACAGACCCGCACCTGGGTCCTTGGAGAGCTCAGACTAATATCCAGCATGATCAATAATTTAGTACTGCTCTCAGAGGATATTATAAAGGATGAAATAGTTCTCCATCAGCCTGTGTATGAATCTCGTACATTCACGCACATGTCAACAGAAGAGAACTCACTTGAACTTTCCCAGCCAGGAGTCGGCCACGATGGCCCCGAGGATGGGGGTGAGGTAGCAGAGGGCCACGAAGGTGTGGTAGATGGAGGTGGCCAAGTCATCGTCCCATCGCAGGAAGTATTTGAAATACAACACGAGTACAGCTGTGTGGAGAAGAGGAGTACACAAAGGTGGATGTGGGTGTTAATGGCAGTATTTAGTATTTTAAGCAGCACCTGTAAAGCACCAGCATCCTCTTTAAAATATTTAAGGTAACTTTTGGACCATTTCTTAAATGTCGTGTTTTTGTTTTTGTATTTTAAGGTATTTGTATTGGCTATTAATGTGGCTAATTTCTAGTATCTCATTTGGTTTTCATGACGTACCTTATGTGTTATTCTATTTAATTTGCTTGACTATGTTTAGCTATTTTTTTTGTTTAACTTTAGCCATTTCTATTCCATCTTCAAGGTATTAGCCATTTGTGTGTTGGCCATTTTACAAGGTTAATATTAATTCATATACTAGTTTTTTGGTACTAATTATATGACTAATGTTTTTATTATTTTTTTAATAACTGGACATTTTACACATCCCATTATCATTATGACCTGTGATAATCACCATGGTTAGCTTGAAGGTACCAGCTGATGTGATGATTCCACTGTATTATTATTTCTTCTTCTGAATACTTAATGGTACTCTAAAAGATAAAGTAAAATAGCAGGACAGCTTTGACATAAAAATGAATTATTATCAGGGACAAAGTTGATAGAACATCTTTTTCCTTTTTGATATGTTATCCTTCACAATAACTTAAACCAAGTCTGTCCCTGACCTTTGCCCTCATCACAACAGATTTTACAGCTGCAGATATGGAGGTTCCTGTTTGCTGCCACCAACCACCTCCTCTGATCTGCATGTCTTATTACTGTATTACTGGACAAATCTGATAAAAACAGTTGAAGAAGTGAAATATTACCTCGCATTCCATAGTATGAGAACCTCTCACAGAACTCATTCACAACAATGAAGAAGATGCTGAGCGGGTAACCACACACCAGTTTGCTCTGGGGGATAAAAGATGTTCAGGCTTTAACTAAGGCAACAGTTGATTCAATTACAAAAAGAATGTACAAAATAGTATAATATATCTCTATAAATATCCACAGTTACTACCTGTCAAAGTGTATTTTAAAACTAAACTTGTCAAATTTTGATTCTTAAGTTTAATTATTAACTACAGCTGTTAAGATAAACATAATAAGGGTTAAAGGTCAAATACAATATAATATAGTAGATCGCCATGAAAATAAATGACTTAGCTAAAAAATAAATAAATGAAAAAATAATCCATTGATTAAAAAATAAAAAAAGGTTTTACTGCTTGGACTAATAAAGATGGCTGCCTTGTTGTTGTTTGAGCCAATCATGGGCCATTAAGAGGTTTTTATTTGATCCCAGCTGAATAATTAATTCAGATGTTTATTTAAAGTTAACATGTTTAGTGGCCTATGCTAAGCAATATAACAAATCACTTCCCAATTCAATTTAGCAACCTCTTAAAATCTATTTTAAGATATTTTTTAAAACTAGCATGACTTAATCGGACTCTTCCAAGCTTAGTCAACTAAACATTATGTAATTCTTTACTGATTTTAGTCTGCAGCTTTATGCTACAGTTAATATCTTAGAACGAACAATTTTGTCATTTATAATTTTAATATTTCACAAACAAACATAATAACCAACATTTAACCCACATTATTTCGTTTTTTAAAATTAAGCTATCTATTATCAACAGTTGATATTTTCTTTGCAAAGTTATACACAAACAAAAAAATAAAATGTGGCATTTAAAAGCCTAATGCATAAAATACAAAACAATATAAGTTGAGCTAATCAATTTTAATTTTCTTTTCATGAGTCTTAGCCTTTCTTTCTTGCCCGGCAGCAGAAATTAAAATCCAACTTTACCGTTCCTCTCCTCTCCTTCTTCTCGGGATCCTTTTGTTCTGCACAAAAAAACAGAACTCATTTAAGAAAACATGTCGTGGCATCAACATCATCAACAAACATGTTTTTAGAACTGGCTTTCACTTAATTCCTAGACATCTGTAAGAAGAGATTTGACTCCACAGCTCACCTGCCATGATGCCTGATCGAGGCTTCTCTCCCACTGGTCTGGCAGATGAATATTCCTCCGAGATTGCTCGTCTCTGTGGTCACTGACTTCTACTCCAGCAGTGACAGTGGGATTGTGATGTCGTATTATTGCTCCTCATTAGTCCTGGTTGAGCCTTTCACTTTGCTGACTGTGTTCTTTTTATGATGGGTGGGAACAGGAGATACCTTGAGATAGGAGGTTTGTACGTGAGGGGTGTTGTAGAACGACCAGAGAACTCTTACAGCTGTGCTCTGGCACTGAAGCTGTTGTCACTATGAACATGTGCTCGGATGAATCAGAATCAACCCCAAATATGACCTGACTGGGACTTTAGTTGAGTTTTACCTCAGTATCTTGGAGCCATGAGACTTGGTTCGTCACTAAGATGAGCTGCTGTAAAACTCAAGTCCAAGACCTGGACTCCAGCACTGAGGACTTTAAACTCTAAGTACTTGTCTTATGTTTAACTAAAATTTACTTCAATAATTGAACATGGACTTGAGAGCCCAAAAACTCAGTAAGAAATGTTCTTAAGCAACTTGAAATTCAACTTTTAACTGAGGAACTCTAGTTGAACTTGATCTATGTTTTATAGATTTATACATATTATGAAGTGTTGTTTTATAGATTGATATAGACTGACTCATTTTAATGTGGTTATGTTTTTAGTCAGATGAACTTGGACAATAAATTGTGATAAATAATTCCTGACTTTACAATCACTTCTTCTGTGACTCAGATACATGAAAATAGAATACTGCCGTAGTACTTCAATAAAAAATAAATTAAAACCAGTGAAAAAAAACAAGATGCTTACCTGAGAGTTCATATTCACTTTTCTCATTCTGACACAAATCCTTAAATAACAATTGTGAATCAAACATTTCCAAACATTTCCAGAACCAGATAAACACAGAGAGACTGTTCCATTACCACATAAAGTAAAAGATGAAGAACTCCAGAGAAATGAGTGCATTTTATTTTAAAGCATAAGGGAACATTTGTTTACAGCAGAACAGTGAATTTGTGTTAAATAAAAAAACAAAACAAAAAAACATGTCGCTGTCCGAATATAAAACAATTTCTTGAACATTTGAACACTAAAACGGTAAAAGCTTCATGTTACTCCCACAGTAGGCGTTCATTTTGGTTCCGCACCTTATCGCTTTGGCATGAAGGTGAACATGTCCTTTACAGTGTATTAGCCGCACACAGCAAGATACTTTGCAAATATTGCACACACTCCTTTGTTTATATGTACATTAATGAACAGAAATGAATATATAGTTTCTTATGCAGTGGCTTCAAATATTTAAAAACACATTTAAGACGCTGAATTGATTCAACGGTAAAATACCAACAAATACCCATCCTTTTTTTTAAGTTTGCAGTTCTGTAGAAATAGAACGTCATTTACAGAGAAACAGAGCGTCGAGAGTCCCAGCATATACTGTTGATCAGGACATCGAGTGGCTTATAAAAGTGGAATACTGTACAGGAGAAAATACAATGTGTAACATTATAAAATAAACTCAACTGGGCTCTGGAGAGGAAGTATGATAACATGCATATTAATATGTCCATAGGAAGGTTTGTCTCAAATCTCAGGCCTCACCTTGTCTCCCCTAAGCTGGCCTCTTCCAGCACACTCCCTGTGCCAGCTGTGTTTGTTCAAACAGTCCAGTGCCTTGGTCACAGTCGAGCCAAAAGAGTCAGAGGTGCTAACGTTTGTCTGAGCTCATGAGTCAGTCTACTTTATATCCAACAAAATCAGGATTCAGTTCACAGGCACATGCCTAGTTTCTGGGTGACCTCAGAGACACCCGGGGTCATGGATATCCCAGGTCGGCATCATCATACCACAGAAGACGAACTGGGGATGCCATGGATGGTAGCACTGGTGGGCGTGCCGCTGATGGCGTTAAAGATATGGAGCGAATCAGGAAGAACGCTCTTCATGCCGTCTTCTACAGGACTGATCTGAAAGAAGGAAAAACCACCAAGAAGTTACAAAACTGAGTTTTTTTCTTTCTTTGGATTTAAACTCAAGCCAAAGAACAGTTTGACCAGTTTGAGAAGTTTGAATTTTCAATTTACTGCAAATGATTAAATAATGGGATTTGAACAATAATGTTATTGTGTTATGTAAATAGATAATTATTATTATCTGGTCTTTGCTGTAAGTGGTTTTTATGTGCAGATTGAAAGTATATTGATTGTTTTTTTCTTATAGCACACTATACTGTCATATTGACCGTTGTCAATAATTAAATTGTCATTCATATAGAGCAGGTGCTGACAGGTGTTTTTGTCACCTTTGCACTGTTAGCGAGCAGCTCCACCTGCTCATATTATTTACACCAATCCAAACTGAGATATGAACAGTCATATGTACAGTAAGAAACAAACTTCTCAACCCTTAATAAAAAAAATCATGAAGACAGTCTCACAAAATGGTGAAAAAGTTGGAGGCATAAAAAATAAACAGTGCAAACTAAATTAATAAAAGTAAAACATGACCAAAATAAAAATTATATAAAAATGAAAAAGTTAAAACACACATTTGCATGTACTGTACTCTCAATGTAATGCCAATCCAGAGTATGTGGACTGTATGTACATGCACACATACAGTAAAATGCAGTAAAAACATGCAAAAAAGACAGAGATAATGTTGGTCTAGCCAGTCAGGGAAGGTTCCAGTATAATTAGCATTAGTTGTTTCAAATAATACAAGAGTATTTTCATTTATTGCAGTCATATTCAAGAAGGCCTGGCTGTGCTGTGATCAGATAACCCAAGGTCAACGAAAGGGACTTTGGATTTAGCCTGAAGCTTCAGACTGTACTACACTGAACTGGGATTGATTTTTTGGTTTTGTTTTTATGAACTTTGCTTGAGTCTTTCTGCTCCTGAATTCTGACTGGGATGTTAAATGTTGCACCTACATTATTGATATTTGAATTAATATAATGGAGAGAGAACTCATTTCATTTAATTTATTATCAAGAATTCTTGACATAAATTGTGAAGGACCAATAAATAAAGGTGTAACTAAATACTAATCCAGATAATATTATGGATCAGAGATGAGTAGAACCAATGGTTATGGTGAGGGTCAAGATATGTTTGCCCTTTGAGGCATCAGATAACATCTGAGAACAGATGTCACGTCTGAGTCTGGCTGGACCAACGATCAATACGTCAGCTTTTATTCAGCTTTTATTCAGCTGCCATTACCATCCAATCTGCTCGTGGAAGCAGGAAAGAAAAACAGAGACCGTTGTTATCAAGAACACTGTTATCAGTCACATTATCAAAGACTTCATGAATGACACTCGGTGGTGTGTGAGGTGAATTACAGCTGTAATCTCAGTCATGCAGGAGGTGATTGCACCGTTTGACTCGTACCTGCTCGTGCATGATGATGGACAGCTCTCTGGCCAGGTCTCTGTAGTTGGCTTTCATTTCATCATGATACTCCTGCTGGTCTTCTTTGATCAGCCGCTCGTTGATGCCTAAACCGTGGCCACAGGCCTCCACGAAATGCCTGTGTAAGAGGTTGTGTGGGTCGGTGTTAAAGCAGAATCACAACAAGTCCATTAACATGGTCATAAATAAGGCTCTGAGGTTTCTACCTGAAGACTTCTTTCAGCTGTTTGACTTTGTTATCTGGATACTTCTTGGCGCTTGAGTCATCCAGAAAAGCTCGCGCATATGCCAGTGGTCCTGCGTTGACCTGGTGAAAATCAGAAAGCGGTGTTGAGTTTTGATTATTTCATGACAGTTTATTAAAGTAAACTTGCTGCTGGTACTGAGAATCAGGCACCTGCACGCTGATGCTGCCCTGCAGTTTGAGCTGCAGTCGGATCATGTCCACCTCACTGGCAGAACACAGCTGTTTGATCTCCGCCACCTTCTTGCTCATCTCATCGATGGCCACCTCGATGGGGCTCAGGTCAGTGTGGTGCTGATACATCACTGCAATACGCTTCTTCACGTAAGGGAAGCAATGTGTGGCTGCAGGACAAACACACAATCAGAGGAGCGTGAGCAGCTTGATTCTAAATTTAAGTAAATTCATATTTTTTTTCTCCCTAATCTGCTGTTCTAAGTTTTACAACAGTCAATCTTTTTCCCAGACAGTAAAAATAAGGAGACAGAGGGATAAGATCAAACCTTTGGATCTTCTGCCTACATAAAACCATAAAACTCTGATTAGGATTAGGAAAGCATCTTGTCATACAGCTGACATGCTGGAAAGCTAATCAAGATTTCAAGTCATTCACCAGAACCTCATGTGTAACTGCGTATTCACACGTGACCCAGCCCTCTGAGTCAGCCCTGTAGGAACTTAAATGAAGGGACAACAGGTTCGATCATTTATTTATATATATATATATATATATATATATATATATATATATATATTAACACGGAATGATGCACACTGCTTATCCATTTCCATTCAAACTATTGTTGTTTATTTCGTCAAATTTTGGCTTTTCTTTTTAGAGGAAAATGTATCAAAAACAACATAGGAAGTTACCAGGGGCTAAATAAAAAAACATCCGACATAAAGTGAGGACGTCCATATTCCTGCTTTGCTACAATATTATAACACAGGCTATAGTCACATACTTGTTAATATCGTCCTGCGTTTGCACTGCTCCTCCACTCCGCCCTGCTTTTTGCCTGATATAGTGAACGGCATCTCAAAGACAAAGCGACGAATGTTGTGGCTCCTTTCAAAATCTGTCTTCCTGTCCACCAGCTCCTTCTCCTCCAGGTATGGAGTGACATGTGTCACCTGAATGTACGCGTACTTAGAGTCCAGGTCTTTGGGGTTGATCTGCAACAGGTCAAAGTCACTACAGTCAGGACGCTCATGTGTAAAACTCTTACAGGGAGAAGAAATCCTCATGACAATGGCTCACCCTTCCAGAGTCCTGGATCATCTTCACATTTTCCTGTCCAAACTTGTCAGAGTAGAGTTTGAGGAGCCTCTGGGATATTTCAGACAGGGGGGTGAACTTGGGTTCTTTGTAGATGTACTCCTTACCGTCCTCATCCTCAAAGAAGCCCTAGGAAATGAGATGACAGAAAATGAGCTGTTCAGAAAGTAAAGAGTGGGTTTCATTGAAAATCTATATTTTTATATAAATAATAATAATAATAAATCAAACAGTGCCAAATCAAACTGAACATTAATGAAGAGTTATGAATGGGAGTCATTATGAGGATTGGGTTTAGTTCAGGCCTAAGGTCTGTGAGTCTCTATCTAAAGTCTGTGTACAGAAGTAAAACACAGTGGAGACTTCAACTAGAGTCAGTTTAGAGACAGAACAAAGACAAAGACCAGGTCACTGACTTTGGAGGAACTACAGCAGAAACACTTAGTTACAGTTTCATGTTAAAACTGAAGAAATGGCTGAAGACATGAATTCATTAGACCATCGGGGAGTCGTCCTGCGAACGTACAGGAGTTAAGGAGACAGGAAGGCTACACACGTGTGTGAAACAGCATAGGCCGAATTAGAAGGACGACAACACAGGAACCTACAACATCACTGCAGTCCAACTGTAACAGTGTCTTTCACACTGATTTACCTCAGGCTCTGAGTCAGTAAACTGGTATTGCTACAGGGTGTGGACAACAGAAAATAAAATGAATGTTACTTCATGTAAAACTAGCTATCACAGTACACTTTACAGATATACATAAGATGTACAGTATACATGGACACAGTCGTCATACAGCTGTGGTTGCAAAAAGACGCTCTGCATCAAAAGGAAGGACTGAACTGGTTCCATAAAGTTCATTTAGAAAGAAAAGATCTTTATGGTCTCAGAAAAGATGTTTTGAGTTTTCTTCAAATTATGATTCCATTTAGAGGATTCAATTTTGTCTTAGCAACCTCAGCTACACACACTTGGCTCCTGTCGGAAATTTTAGATCACACATTTTGTCCACACAATCAGTTCTTTCTGCTCAGTTTTGTTACTTGTTTGTGCTTTGAGTGAGTGGAGGAATCAGAGAAAAATGAGAAACTGAATTAGTATAAGTGCCGTTGTGAGTTTAGTACATTATTATGAATTTTAAAAAAAGTAAAAGGGCTTTTGCAAATGGGGTTTTTCTAATGGTGTCGAACAATTGTTTCCAAAATGAGGGGCAGGTCCTGGTAGGGGCCACAAAGCAGCAAATTAATTTCTGTTACAATATTTATTTGTCACAACAGTTAGCTTTAGTTTCTTAGAAGTTTTTCCTACCACTTAAAAAACAAGAAAGAAATAACGATCAGTATCAAACTCAAAACACTTAAACTGTAACACAGGAGCAGTAAAAAAACACTTAAAAAAGTGCAGAACAGTGACAGGTGGCATGCAGCAAAGTCTCAAAATAAAACCAGAGCAGCAGCGATGGCTGATTGTTACTGTGACTTCAAGCAGCAAACTGTGAGGAAACATCAGCGATGGATTACAGCAGCATCCACACACACACACACACACACACACACAGTCAGGCTGTTTAGAGAAATGCAATCAAAGTCTGCAGCACAACTTACCGCTGCCTTCACAGAGGACAAAAAGCAGAGAAGGGAATTAGAGTGAATCTCAAAATCACTGCATGTGATCATGCACTTACAATAGAAACAGTGTCACGCTCCGTCTAGCAACAAAAACCCATTAATTTGCTCTTTTGTGTGTTAATATGTGAAGTTAACGTTTCCACACCGTCAGCAGTTCCACACTTGTCCACATGCTGAACTCACCTGTCCAAAGAAGGCCACTCTGAAGTACGTCCCCAGCAGCCTTTTGCCCGAGTGCATCACCTCCGTCACTTTACTGTAGGCACGATGCAGCGTGTCGTACAGATGGGCCAGTTTCTGTGCATTAATGTGATTTTTTATTTTAATTTGTTTTTAGAAAATGTACATCCAATCCATAGCTTTATATCAGACTCTTCCTCAGACTGAGGGTTTTACTGTTACCTCAAAGTCTCTGCGCTTTTCATAAATAGGAATGATGAGCTTGTAGATGTCAGAGATGAGCTCGTATCGCTCAGCTTTCCACAGTCCATCCGCACACTCCTCTAAAAGCTCCAGGAGGACGTCCTGGAAGACAGAGAGAAGACATGAGACACAAAAGTGGTGGATGATTTTTTTGCAGAATTGTCTTGGTCTTTTTTTAGCAAAATGGCCTGGTCCAAGATAAAGCTAAAAATTAAACATAACATTAATCTGGCCTGCACTTCAGTAAATAAATAAAAATCAAGATTTTACAGTACAGTGATTTATTTGTAGTTTAACTGTTTATTTAACCTCATAAAACGTGTAGATTAACCTGTCCAATACAGAGTCAATGATATGAGACAGTTTATTCAGTAGCAAAGATATTGTGATGAGTGTAAAAGTACCTCGTTGAAGTGGACGTCCTGCATGCCGACGTCCTCCATCATGGCTGCTTCTTCATCAATGTTTGGCGTCACCACCAGGAATGCTGAGCATCCCTGTTTAAACATGCCTGCACCCAGAACAAGAAAAGACAGATGTTTAAAAAACAAGGTCCAATAGAAAAATCCATAAATGATACAGAGAGACAGGCAGCACCTTTTCTCTGCAGATATTCTGCCACGAGTGCTGCAACGTGAACGTAGCACATGGCTGCCTGCAAACGATCACAACAAGAAGGGTTCAATTAAACTGTGATGGTGGTGTCATTTAAACCGACTGTCACCAAATGTCACCGACCTCCGACAAGTCTCCGTTCTTCACGTGGATCCGGGCCATGCTGTCCAGCCAGGTCTTGCGCAGCTCAGGTGTGCTGGCGTATGATTTGGCCAGACTGTATTGCAGGTCCACCAGCATCTCTGGGTCTCTCTCATGCTCCTTCATCTGAGCCGTGGCCATCAACACTGTTCTGATGCGTTTGGTCAGATCCTTCACATCGGAGGGGAAAGCTGTGTTCTGTGTGGGGCAGATGTCAGAGCCGAGGGTCGTGGTGAATTTATTTCTGCATATTAGTGAATAAATAAAATAATATTTGTGATGTTCAGAGAGCACCTGCTGACCTTAATGGTTTTGTCACTGTTGGCACAGTTGTTGATGATTGACAGAGATTGCTGGAAGCGTGTACTTCCGATACCGATGACATCAGCGATCAGCTGACTGACAGCGATCACCACCTTAGGCAAAAACAGGAAGTGCATTTATTATAAGTAGATATTAGATTGAATTCTTCACACCCACAGCTGGGTGCTACACTTGCATGTGGCAGACCAAATGTCACACTCTCCTCCCTATCTTTTTCAGGTGGTGCTTCAACACAAACAGAATTTGCAAAGAATCATAAACATATTCAGACAATATTATAAGCAGTTCAAAAGTAGTGACTGACTCTTAACTTGGAAGTGAAAGCTATTTCAACAGACCATGTGTCCATCTCTAGTCCTGGGTCATAAAAGCGTCCTGTCCAGTCATGGAAGAGTAAGTACCTGTAAGTGCGTCCTGACGAAGGATTTGCGACCAGTGTAGTCAAAGTTGCTCTTCATGAGGAAGTAGAGCAGATGGGCTGCATCGCTGCGAATGGAGCTCAGCTTGGAGTTACAGCACTTCAAGATCTCGTAGCAGAACGCGGCACACATGTCGGCACGGCCTTCGAAGAAGGTGCAGGGAAACTGGGGGGAGAAAATGAAGAAAGTGTTCGTCATCTGCACAGATGAAAGTTTAGCTGCAGATGGGGGTTTTCTTACCTTGTAGATGAAGGTGCGTAGTGAGGTGAAGACCTGCTTGAGGGCAGTTTCTGACTGGTTGATACGCAGAAAACAAAGGTGGACTTCAAACACCTTCTTCATGAGTGGACTGTGTCCGTGGTCAGCACAAAGCTGTGTCTGTGAAGGCAACAGACATGACCACGTTAAAACTGGGAATATCAGGTCCAATACCTTAGAACCGTAGGAAAATAAAAAGTTACCTTGAAACTCATAATGAAGATGCTGAGCGTGTCCAGGACAGTCAGGCACACCTCAGTGGCGATGTTGGCCTCCAGCAACGACTGATTCAACACGTCAGCATCAGAGTGACTGTAGGCTGGAAAAATAACACACAGCCTTGTAGGTTACCTCCAGTAAAGCCAACGGTTTAGACACGCACACATCTCTCTGACAATACCAGGCCGTAGAGTTAAAGGCAAAGCTGTTGCTAACAGGATGAAAAATGACGTTAAGCTGCAATGACAAGATTTCATTCCATCGTGGTGTAAAGACATAATTAATTTTATTAATTTAATATAATGACTGAGTATTTCTTTTTTTTATTATACTTCTTTGTGATTTTCAGAAAGGATTTTCCTAGAACGTCCGTTCAGTTATTCTGGAATGAAAACTTTTTTTTTTCCATAGACTTCTTTTTTCTGAGTGAAATGTAAACATTGAGGTTGAGAGCAGATGAGTTGGGCAGATGGATGTAAGGATTTCAAAAGCTGACATTCAGTGAGAAACAGTCAGTCATGCTCTATTTCCAACCAAATGAACAGAGCCAGTAACAGTCTGCAGACTGGCTGCCTGTTGTTACTGTTACTGAGACTGCACATTCTTACCATGGTCTACAGATATTCCAAGAATACTTGAAATCTTTCTTACACTGAAAACACAAAGACACCGTGTTAAATCCAATAAGACTCTAACAGGACTAGTCACACAGTTTAAACCCGTCGTGTTAGGCTGTTGTCGTCTGCAGAACCTCCTGCTTAAAGAGGGCATGGGCTTAAACAGAGGATGAGGAAGATGCTAATGATGATGATGATGCTAAAGCTCGAGGAGTACACAGAGCAGATGGCGGCGAGGGGAGGCAGAGTGAGAGGGTATCCTCTTGGGGGTAACAAGTATGGGGCTGGGCGTCACTTACTGTGGTTAAAAGTGTATGAGTTATCCAGGCTGCTGAGCTGCTGTAAGCGGGCATGCATCATTCCTGTCCTGTTACGGGACACAGGCAGAGTCTGAGACTTCCGCTCATGAGCTACAGGTCCTGCCCCATCCTGGTTCCTGATGAGGAAACAGGACAGTGTTAAAAACAAAGCTGATGAGTTAGTGAAGCAGGTTCTGGTCACTGAAGAGCTCCAAGAGTTCATCACCACAAACCAACGTCCTTAGACTTAATAGACATACTGTATCTGCACATCAGAATGTGACGTTTGAAACGATTTCGACATACTTCGAATATGTACCTACAGCGACACCTAGTGTACGCCGTAAAATAATGTTCGGCATGCAGTTGAATGGCGCATTTATCAAAAAGGAACACCAAAACAAGCAGAGCAAGCCATGCGTGTGAGTGAAAAGTTACTTGTGAATTTGTAGACAGAGAGAATGTGTCACAGCACTTCAAGTGTTACGGAGAAGGAATGTCATGCAGTTAGAAGGAAAACGTCACTTCCACCGTCAGTCTTACCCGGGCAGGAAGGGGCAGGAGCCATGTTTTTATATCATTATGTTAAACTTGCCAGCGTTTAGGAGGATAAAGATAGAAAGAGTGGGGGGACAGGTTAGAGGGAGGAATAAAGAGCTGTAGACGTCAAGGCCACAACTCCCAGACGGCAGAGGGCGCCGTGTAACTGAGAAAACAATGTCAACAACTCAAGCTACAGGAAACTAATCAACAACCTGATTATGAGGCTACAGTTAGCATCAATTCATCAGAAATAAAGATAAAAAGACCACAATTTGTTTCAGTAAGGTAGTTAAAAAAAGATATACAATACAAGTATTTTCCTAAAGAACACAATAAAAATTATATAAATGTTGGTCTATTTTCAAGGAGTAATATTAGAAATATGACATAGACAGCTAGTACCTTTTTGTAATGGTATCAAAACAGTTAGGTGAAAACATGTAAAACTAAAATAATCTATAAAAATATTTTCTTTGAACTCCAATCTCTAACTTAAAAATAATTTCATTTGAACAAATACATTATTAATAATTACATTACATAAGTTTAAATTGAATTGAAGTTTTTGTGCCACTCATCTAAACACTGACACAAGAATTACCTTGCGATGTATCTTTTCCCCATGTATCTAAACTGATGGAGGCAGACTCTGAGAGGAAGAAGAAGACAAACAGTCACTCCAAGTTTCACAGCATCACCTGACTGTGATATCACCAAAACCACAGGTCGTACTCTATCAGAGTGAAGAAGTCCATGAGCTCTGCAGCTGAGGCTTTGCTCCAGTATGTGAACAGAGCATCTGGAAGAGGCAGAAATGATACAACACATACATTAGTTACAAGAAAATTGAATGCATTTGTTATTTCCATAGAGATATTTTCAGTTTATTTTACCATCCACTTTAGGAGATGTAATTTAGTGTGGATTTGTTTTCACCTTCAGACATGCTCTTCAGCACATGCAGGAAACACATGAGGAGACTCTTGATCTCCACCTGGTCCAGTTTATCACACCGCAGCAGAGTGCTGCCCAGGGTGGAGGACGCCTGGTTCTGAGGGGCAAGCGTAAAAATAGTCTGTTTAGCTTCAACCATAGTTTCTAGTCAGGTCTCATTCTGTCTCAAACCAGATGAGTATTTAGCACGTCACACCTTCAGAACTGTGCTGTGTGGTTTATAGTCTCACTGCTTCTTTAGGATCACACTGAAAAAACAGTGTTGACCCTGATTTACAGTTGAGTGATTTACACACGAGTGAAGTCATTAACCAGGACTTTTTCATGGCTCAGAGAGTTTGTGGAAAATGATCAGTGTCTCTTCCAACTGAGAGAGAAAAAAACCCAGCAGAGCAGTATAGCATCAGGTCTACCACAGCGTGGGTCTGGACGCTAACCAAGTATGATCCCTTCTCCTGGAATAGTCTGGACCATGGATCTGGTTAGGGATGACTTCATGGAAAGAATGACGCCACTGCCTTTGACGTCTGGTGTTTAATGGTGTTTTGAACGGAGCAGAGGTTTCAGTCTAAATTTGGTTTCTCCCCCAAAAAAAAGTTGTAGTGAAAAAAAATTACTATGCTTCTATTTTCACGTGCTTCTTCTACTGGCTCATTACTGCGGTTGGTCACGACTGCAAATCACTGCAGTTCATGCGTGTTTTCTTTAACAGTCTTTCAGTTCAGTGACCAGTTAATGTAAAACACAAAAAAAGTTTTACAAAGTCTGGGACAATTTGACATTAAATAAAATAATAAAATGAAAATGAATTTTGGGAAAAATTATAAAACATTTGCAATCTAAATATGTTCATATGGTATACATGTTTTCAAAGGCGAATATTCATTTTGTCTTGATTAAAGTTTTTCAATGAATGTAATTAATTTCTTTAAAAACAATTTGTCTCAAACCTTGTAAAAATTTTAAATCTTGTGTATGTATTAACTGGGCATTAGTTTTTCTTATACCAAACCACACAGCACAAACTCAGACAGATAATAAAAGAAATAGTCTTCACATGAAAAACAACAACACAGATAAGAACAAAAGAAATCTTAGAAGAATGAATCTCAGCATCAGAGAACTATCTTTTTTCTGAATTTCTTCATCACAGTGACCAGGCAGAGGAAGAACTCTATGTATATAGAGTATAAAGGCAGTAGGAAACTCTCAAAAACAGTTCTACACTCCCTGATGGGACACTCGGAGAAAACAAAAACACTTTGCCAATAGAACGGCATGTTTGTACTTGGAGTGAATCACTGGGCTGCAGCTCTGTCTCGTGCACGAGGGGAACGGAGAGCAGAGAGAAGTCCATAGTGACACGCTTTCTTTGCAAAGACAACTTGGACTCCTCTGTGTCCCTTAAATGGTGCAAGACACTGACAGAGTGTCTCCGTGTGAACGCTTCCGCCTGCCCAGACCAGCAGTGCCGGCAAAGTGATGGAAATGAATGTAGCAGGTTAAAAAACGGCAACAAATTGTTTTTGCACTGCTGTATTTTTCTGTGATGTACTGTACCTTGTCCAGAGAATTTCCTTTATCAACGTTCCTCTCTGGCAGACTGTTACCAGAATCCGTGCTGATGAGTGAGCCGCGAGAGTCCGCGTGACGCACAGAGTTAATGTTGGGTGTGGATGATGCGTGAGGGGATGCTGTTAGGAAAATAAAAAAGAAATGTATGACTGAATTTAAATCTACACTCCAAATTAAAAAAAAAAACAGTTTATTTCACTAGAATTATATCCCATAGAGCTTCTTCTGGATATGATGTAGATTTAGTGTGTGTTCTGTGTAAAGGTTTTATATGAAAACATCAACTATGCAGCATCTTTTTTGCAACCCTTTTCTTTTTCAAGTAATTAAAGCAATGTAGAGAAAAACAACCAGAAAGTTGTTCTCAACAGCAATAAACATACAGCTAACAGCTATTCTACAGCCATAACTAACTGAGACAATACATTCAAATATGTGTTTTAGACACATTTCATGAAGCTTTTATTGGTGAGGCTGCATCTAATGGCTAGAGAATATATATATACAGTATGTATATATGTGTGTATATATATATATATATATATATATAAAATTTTTCTATAGTTCTGTCTGCTCCCTCACCTGTTCCTGAGATGACGCCAAAAACATCTTTGTGTAAACTGGTGTCCAAAAAGGTACTGGACCTGGGAGGGGTCATCAGAGGGTTGGTGTGAAGTGACTCCTCTCTTCCATTCTGGTGGAGAAAAGACAGTGCAGGTCATCCATTAACAGTATGTGGAACCAAAAGATAAAATAATTAGTTAAATTAAGTCATTTAATGTAAGTGTGTTAAAACCATTTATGTTGCCAGTCTTTTTCTAAAGCCGCATTTTTCTGCTTTTCACGGGTGAATAATAATAACAGACCATTAGGTTTCTGCCACTAGGCGGCAGACTTACATTGTTAGAGTGGTTGATGGTGAAAGGAGACACTTCCTTCACGTTCAGCCTGTTGACATTTTCTTGGAGGAGGCCAAACAGGGGTAAATACAGCGTGGCCAGCCTGGCCTGCTGACTCTGGAGAACACATCAGTGGCTCAGTATAGTATAACAAAATACTGTATGTGAATGAGACACATCAATAGTTCAGTGAGGGGGACAGAGGAATGAAGGCAGTTTTTTTTTACCTTGGAGCTGTAGCGTTCATCAAATGTGTGCTTTATCATCAGGTTCTTCAGCACGTGGATGGAAATCTGACGGATCTCCCTGAACTCCTGCAGAGCTGCACTGACCTCCCTGAGCAGCAGACCAACCAGGAAGTGGTTTTTACAGAAGTCATCAGTCAGCGAGTAATCCAGCTGGAGGTCTGAGAGAAGGAAGTGGAGAAGCTTATGAAAAAATTAAGAAGAAATTAAGTTAAACTGTTTAAAATCATTTAATCAAATCAGACCAAATAAGTTGCTCCTCCAGAAAAAAGATAATCCACAATCTGTTCAAATTTGACAATCTGTACAGATTGAAAAGCACCAAACAAGATTGACCTGTTTAAAGATAGCATTTGCAGGAATTCTGTGAACGTGTTTGTCATGTGACACATTTCTCATAGAGAAGGTCGACAACCACTCATTCAAATACAATTATTATTAACTCTTCCCAAAAATGGTGAAGCTATAACAAAACTGACCCACATAAATGTGCACTCCACCTGCATCTACAGCTCCCTCTGCAGGTAAAGGAGGTCACCAAAACAGAAACTCCTGCATATTCTACCATAACCAGATTCATTGTGAAAACCTAAAGGTCAGGAATCAAAGTGGTGATGGAACAGCAGTACCAGGAACTGTTCATACTGAAAGTGTTTTCTAACAACAGTTACAAATCACACAAAGATGGAGATGAAGTCACACCTCACTCATTCTTTCTAACACATGGAAAATAGAAAAAAAGGTCAAAGTTTTGAATAGTTAAAAGGAAAACACACTACACCAACCTTCTGTTTTATGAATGACCATATACTGCATCACAACAACATGAGCTTGATTTGCTACCAGTGGATTTATAAAATAAAATGGTTTCAATTTCATCCACTTTATAGCAAAGGGAGAAAATAGCCCAGATTGACTTCTGATTTTCAGTGGATTTTCAACGTGTTTGTTTGATTGTGGTCTTTTTGGAGAAGACATGCGAGCAGCACACCTCACACCTACCTCCTGGAGTGTCATTGGACTCCACTGTATCATACGGAGATAATAAAGCTAGTTGAGGAACACAACAAAGAAACAAGTACATGTATGTACTGTGAAGAAAGAAAAATACTCCTGAACCAATGTGTATCATGTGGTCACTGTACTAGTATTAAGGACAGTTACAGTACTGAAGCATTTTCACCACAGGGACCACAGGCTGAAAGGAAGAACAACCAAAATAGCCCCTGTCCAGAGAAGTAGGTTGACACGTGGTGCCAGTCGACCACTGTGATTGGCTGTAACCCCTCTACAACAGTGAAAATTACTAAGTTGTATAATAAAATAAAATGGAACACACTTTTAATGATCCATAAGAATATAGTTGCAAGTTTGCTTTTTTTAAATTCAAAATTGAGCCAAATTTAACATTTCTGTTGGACATTGTCTGCTTCACGATGCAGTATAGCTCTGCACTCTACTAAACCAGCCAGTAGCATTATCACCGCCCCCTGCTGGTGGTAATCATGGTGTATTTGTTATATAAAACACCGGTATTTTATTGCTATGGCTGTTTTTATCAAATAATGTCTGTGGTTCAGTACAATAACTACGTGATCATGGTACTCAAAATATCTGGTACTCTGTAGTGAAAATACCCTGTAAAGGACTTTAAACATATATTAATATGGTAAAAAACCTCACCTTGAAATCTCAGTATCCTTCCTTTACCAAAGGGCATGGGCAGGTTTAAGGGGACGTAGTGCTCGTGGTTGCACACAACACGCAGGAACTCAAACTTAAACTCAAAGAGTGTCTGCAGTGAAGGAGAAAAGAAACCATTGGAGGGCGATCAAAACAAAAGTGAAACAGAAGCCTTTCTGAAACAAACACTGCAGTGACTCATCAATGAGACCCACTTTGCTGGTTTGTACCTTTGGGTCTCCAGGCATGAAACAGTTGCTGTAGTTGTTGATCTGCTTGAACACAAAGCCTCTGTCCATCAGGTTGAAACAGCGCTACACAAAGAAGGAAAACGGCAGAGGAAAAAAAAGTGATATAAATCAGTACTGACTGACCCATCTGTAAAAGTCCAGCTTTAACTTTTTATGAAGTCGTAATAAAATATATGGATCCAGACCTTGATAAAGACCGCCAGACTGTGGTTGGCGTTTCTAGCAGCATCCAGGTTGTCCTTGTACTTCTGTGTGATGTGAGGCATCATCATGTTGACCAGTGTCTCCACCGTGTGGTGAAAAGATGCAGAGAATCTCTGGTTCCTGGACAGCTGTAACACATTAGCAGTCGGACAGACAAAAATATGACATAAGAAAAAAGTAAGAAAGAATAATATTTTCGGTTGGTAAGAAGTAAGTAAGAAAGAATAATATTTTCGGTTGCTACAAATTTGTATAAAATCTGTCCTTTTTATTCACCGTCTAAGACAGAGGTTCTTAACACCTGGTCCGCTCGCCCAGAGGGGACATGGAGGTACAGCATGGGGGTTGATGAGGTAGTGTATTTGATGAATAGTGTAGTAGTGGATGAAAACAAGAGTGATTACCAGGCCTGAGAGTACTTAATTTGTACTACTCTGGTTTGGTTAAAGTTCACTGAATGTAGCAAAATATTTCTGACCTTTGTCTCCTGACTCTTCATTTCAGAGAAAAAAAAAACTTTCCATTTGTGTTCAGACCCAGTAGCTGGACCTCCTTTCTGCAGCATTAAATCCACATTATGCCAGTGGAGCTTAAACACAGGGATGTGGTTTCCTACGGGCTACGAACAAACGCAGCTAGTTAAGCTGCACAGCAGTGTGGTACAGGCTGCAGACACACAACCCTTTGGCTGCGGTGCTGTGGCTGTCCGCAAGACTTGGCATGTTGTAAACTGCAGCGAGGGAACGTGAAGCTGTAATAAAGACAAGGCAGGCAGACATCCCCGAGTCAGGGGCGCATGTTCCGACAGACCTACCTTCACTTTACAGCTCTCAATCAGGTACTGAGCCATGGACTTGACAAGGGCTTCAAAGAAATACCAGGAGTACTGCAGGGCAGACAAACATCAATCAAAGAGCATTAGGATAACACACATGTCAGTTATAATTACACCTTGAACAGAACAGAGTCAAAATATGACACCTTCAGCAGCTTGTTACTGGTGAGGAAGTCAGTGGAAGGTTTAAGGATGGCAGTCATAGCTTTGGCCAACTCCTCGTGCACCGTCCTAGGGCTGGACGTGTACGGCTCTGTCTTGAATACAAACTGAAGGACAAAACCACTCAGAGACATGGATATTTACCAGTTTATAAGATAACAGAGAGTAGGGATCATGTTCTACCTTCACATACGATCTCAGGTAATGTTCCAACCCCTCCTCATGGCACTGGGCAACAACGTGAATCATGACTCTGGAAAAAAAACAACAACACAGCTTTGCTTGGATGGACTTTGAAATCATTTTCACAGTAGCATTTATTCCTAACCTGCACGTTGTGGACTGTATTAAGAGGTTGGATTAACTGAAGACAATCACGTGGACAGGCCCATTTTTCAATCTTTTTATATACAATATTTTTAGACTAACATTTGGCTCATCAATCACCTTTGTATTTTCATTTCTAAAACATGTTATAGACAAACACTGTTTAACAAGTACTGTTTTAGTTTCATGCCAGTTGCTGTAAACCAGAAAAATGGAATTTGTGGAAGGTTATTTCAGAGAGACTTGCCTGGTGACGTTGACTGCTACATCCTCCTGGGTGGCACTGGTCAGCACTCTGAACAGCTGATTCAGAATGGTGGGCAGGAACTTGATCATCACATGACTCTCCATGGCATGCAGACTCTGAAGAAATGAAGACAAACTCAGCTTGTTGCTCATAAAAAAAAAAAAAAAACGTTTAAACTTCCTTCATTAACACTGAGAGGACTGGACTTAAATTCAAATAGTAAAAAATGTTATATTGTAATGCTGTCTCCCACACATGGAAACATGATGAACTGATCTGATAGCCACAATAACAGGACATTGTGCTAATCACCATCACTGTCTGATTGTGTCCTTGGGACACGGCGGTGTGAGTGTTGGTACTGGTGCAGGAAACCAACGCAGGCCCTGCCAAAGTCATTTGGAGAGATTCCAGTCAGTGCTGCTGACCTGCTGCTTGACCTCAGGCTATTGTTCATGTTCACTGCTGTGTTTACACTAAAACCCAGAGGATGCACTGGACCAGGCTTCACTTTCCATGTCAGTGTCCACCATGGGGACACAGAACTAAAATTCCCATGGACTGTAATTAGGGTAAAAGTTGAAAAAGTAACAACTGAGAGGCTGGTGCCAAATAATTAAAAAGAACCGGGCTAATTAATATGCTGCTAAATGTCACCTCAGAAAGACTTCTGTGGTTATGAAAGAATAATAACACAGAGCTTTCCTCTTTTTATTATTTAATAGTCAAAAATTCTACTTTTGTAAAGGATTAAAAATGAACAGTGTTGTATTTTTAATTATTTTTTATTTTATTTTATGAACTTTATCGTTCCTTCACTGGGGAAATTCTGGAGTTAATACAAGATCTGCCGCCTGTACCGCTAACTGCTACACTATAATTAAGAGTCACTCCATGAGTCTAACTACGATCACGATATTGTCCAGTATATGTGTGACATTGATTTATAGTCAGAGTGATGAAGATTTACTTTTAGTCTTCGAGTCACTTCTTTACCTTCAGGTATTTGACCAGCTGTCCTCCTGACACCTGTGATCCAGATGTGATGTTCTGACAGTGATCAAAGAAATTGTGCAAATGTTGATCCTGAAATAAAGACAGGGAATTTACACCTTGAAGGTTTGTTTGAACATGATTTAAGGTCTAAACAACAGAACAGACAATAAATGTAACTAACCTGAGTGTAAACAGTGGAGACTAGGTGAGTGGACACCTTGAACAAAGGTTTGCCTCCATCCACCCATTTGACTTCAGGACCTGAATGCTGCAGGAAGATGAAGCAAAAATAAAAAGTTATATATAATATATTATTTTAGTGGTGTCTGGCTAAACCGTGGCTCATGTTGCATTATAGCTGGAATGATATTTTGAGCATGACGAAAGGTAAACTCGTTGATGAATTTCTTTTAAAAAACAAATTCTACCTGTTAGGCTGCTTCATGAGAGTAGACAGCATGATTGTAAGATGTTGAATTTTGCTCTACTTTTTATTGCTAATAACTGCACTCTAAACTAGGATCCATTACAACAAACAAACAAGTAATAACCATTTAGTCAGGATCCACTGTACCTTTGCAGCTCCTTCCTGACAGCTTAGATATCCTGCAGGTAGGTTAGCAGCCACAGGAACCTGATTCTCGTTCATGATCACCCGGCCATCTTTCAGCAATGGCAGCCAGGCGTAACCCACTGAGAGGAGAAACAGAGAAGAGGACGGTCAGCTGACACTCTGATACCATTTCCACTGCCAGTAATTTAAAAAACACTGAGAAAACTACAGGAGGAAGTCTTTACAGACACTGGATTGGATGCCAGTTTAAATTGTGTGGGCGTTGCAGCGTCTCACCTTGTGTTTCCACAAGCTCTCTCTTCTTGGTGCTGGCCTTGCTGTTGTTTTCACAGCTGACGTGGTAGAAGGTGAAGAGCAGGTGGTGTTTCTCATGCAGCTGAGTCGGCAGCTCAATCTTGAACTAATAAATAACAAGTGACAAAAACACAATCAGTGCAAGAATGTAACGACACCACACACATAATACGGCCTTAAGTGCTCGCAGGAAACTTCACCTCGTCATAAAACTCAGGGTTCTGCTGGTGATGCAGAACTGCAGCAAAGGCGTTCTTGGTAAACAATGGTCCTCCAGGTCGACCGTAGATGCACTGCAGAACAAAAATAGTCCATTAAAGTCCTGTCAGGAGTGGGGTTATCCTTTAGGGATTTTTTAAAGGATTTCCAGGACACATTCCAGTCTACCTTTAACGAAGCAGCCTCCTCTTCGTCCGAGTCCTTGAACTCAATGCAGACAGCTATGTTTCTAGCCTAAAGACACAGACACACAACAGGAAACCTGTCAAATCTTCTGAAAAATAAATAAATAAATAAAATATTCCATATATATATACAAGAATGCAACAGCTCAGCTGTAGAAAACACAGTTATTGTTTTTTTTTTATCCACTTTTGCCCAAGCCAATAATAAGATTAAAAAGGACCAAAATCATGGTGCAGAAAAATATGTTCAATTAAAAAACCAAAAAAAAGCAAAACAAGTGTTTTAAGAGCAAATCAAAAAACTAGCGGCAGCTCTGAAACAATGAATGAAGGTATAAAGTAGAGGAGTGAATCTGTACGATACATGATCATCATCCTCAGTATTACTACACTGAGGCATCAACAAGCGATGTGGCAAGACCACTGATGGATTACTGAGCAGTCAATGCAAACCATGAGAGTGACTCATTATTACACATAGATATGGTGGAGATTAGTATTAGTATCTGGCTTCAAGGAGAAAATAAAACTAAGAGTTCCACAGGCTTTCCAATATTAGGCAACAGAAAAATGACAAGCTTCTGCTGAGGTTTGAGGTTGTGGTTGCTTTGTATGAACCATTCAGTAAACTCAGGGTGACTAACATGCCTCTGACATGACATTTTGTTGCTGATCTAGTGGATCCAACTTCACAACAACTACTGTAGATGTTCCTAAGTAGGTGAAACAAAATCCAATTTGTAAAACCAACCACTGTTGGACCTGTCAGAATCCACAAACTAAGACTAACGATAGTATAATGTGGGAGCTGATTATAACTAAAAAGTAGTAATTCAGTAATTAATGCCGTTATCAGTTAAGGTCTCCTAGCTTCTCTGGGCTACAGTGGATTTGTGCCTAAGCACATTGAGGACCAGAAGTCATCATGAAGTATTACACTTCATTAAGGCCATGCCAATTAACTGGCAGCAGGGGGTGCTCTTTTTATGTGGAACATTCACATTCATGGATGGACAGACATGAATGTGACATGTGACATGGCATGGACCTGCGGTACCTTTGCGAATGACTTTTGTCCGTCATATTTCAAGTGCTTAGGGTAGACGTAGAGGTGGTTGTTGTAGATGGTGAAAGGCTGGGAACACTTGGCAATGCACGGCACAAACTCCTCCACTTCGAAGAAGATGTTGGTTCGCTCACTGATGTCGAACTGCTTCACAGGAATGTAGGATGAGGTAACACAATCTGCACACAGGAGCGAGAGGGAGATCAGATTCACAGGAGCCGGTCTCAACACAAGTGGTTTTATCTCTCACGCTGGCTGCACGGAGCGAGTTCACGGAGCTTACTTGTCAAGTCGGGAGCAACGCTGTCAATGGTAACATCAAGGTTTCCTAGGATTACAGGCAGCTTTGCCATTTTCTCTGGCCTGAAGGCAGGAAAATAAACCGGGGTTAAGTCACTGTGATCATCTACTAAAGTCTGAATAAGAAACAGGCAGACGGCCCAGGCATGATCAGACGATATATGACCACATTCACAGATGTGAACTAAACATTTTATTTTTAAATCTGACAGGCTTTTTCCTAAGTACGGCCTATACTGTAGGCACATTTCTCCATGTGCATTGGTAGGACTCCTGCAGATGAACTTAGGACTAGTTTTAATGGAGTGTGAGGACTGGCAGAAACATGACTCACTTTCTGAAGTCAGCCAGCAGCTTCAGCATGTCGTCGTTGGACAGTTTGTTGCTGTCCTGTCTGTAGAGAGCTGAAAATCTAGCACTTTTGTCAAGTGTCCCTGAAGCGTCTTTGAACAAAGGCCTAGGAAGAAGCGACGGAAAAGATGAGTCAGCAAGAATTGGACTCTCAGCACACGAACACACACACACACACAGTTTCAGAAGTTACACAGGTCCTGAGAAAGATGATGAGTTAACCAGAAAAAATAGTTGTCTACAAATGCAATTGAATATGTTTCATCTTTTCCATGAAGATAATAAAAGCAAACGTTACAAAACTCTTAGTATTACTACACTGAAAAACAACCTCCAGGAGGCTCGGTGTAGGTTCATGTCTCTCTGGAAGCTGAACTCATTTGGATAAAAGTGTGAGTGACAGCAAATAAAAGAAAGTCCACTAAAATGTGGAAATAGTGCTAAACAGTGACGCTCCACTCTTTCTGTACAGCTGCCTGTGTTAACTATGCTGAAAGGTTCCTTTAATTTTTCTTTAATCCCAAGGGATTCATACAGATGAATTAATGTCTCTGTTAGTAAAGTACCTTGCTGCCCAGGCAAAAGGCATCCTGTACTGCCCCAGCCTGCTACATGCCAGCTTGGCATTTTTCAGGACCTTCTGCGCCACCTGGTGGAAAAGGAAACATTAGATGTAATTGTCAAGCCCAGGAATTACACACCAAACACCAAAACATTTGTACCAATGCAAAATTTAAATGAAATCCTTTAACCAACACGCATGTAAAAACACACAAGCACGGACCAGCACCACATACATGCACCCACTCCACATTCCTCTTTGTCTGAGTCCCATTACTGCTGTTCTGGGTGCAGCACCACAGAAGTGCAGCCAAAGTCAATGCTTGTGTTGAGTGTCTGTGCAGCAGAGCAGCACTCAGAAACAGAGATGATGATGATGATGATGATGTGTGTGTGTAATGTCAAGTATTCTGATGGAATCTGCTGAGTGTGGGGGAAACTCCGCAGGTCCAAGGTGGAATCCAGTGTGGGGTCAGTGCAGTACCTTAGTGGAGTCCGAGCTCTTCATGTACGGCTCGGCGCAGTGGTTGATTCCACCCTGGAGCACCTTCTCTATACGAGCCACCAGGAAGATGTCAGGGTGAGGACATGTTACTGAGAAGACTCCCTGTGGACAGAGGGGACACGTCAAAACACATGCATCACTTTAGTACAGCGTGTTTTCACTCCCTTCTATTTGAGATGGCTGACCTGTCGAGGGTAGTGCATGGCAGCTTCTGGGACCCCATGGACCGACCGCTGGGCCTCAGCGTGAGCGTCTTCTCCTCCGTTTATGTACTGGCTGATGTTGTTAGGCACCATGCCCCTCACAGAAGGATGATTTAAGTCCACATGAAAGTCAGAGGCGATCTTCCGCCCATTCTGGATATCAAAAAGTGAGAGAGTGACGTAGAAGGGCTCCACCTAGAGGAGAGGGACATATATAGCACTTTGTGTTATGGCAGGTTTTTATATCGAAGTCTAAATCTAAATCTCTTAAAGCAGGTTTTTGGTGCTCACTCATTTCACTTAAACTACCAAAGCTGGGATTCCAACAAGGAATCCTCCTAAGTTCAATCTTTGGCGGCCAATTGGCCGAGGGCTAACCAGTTAGTTCTGAGACATTTTGGATTTGGACATTTTTCAGAAGATAAACTGCTGCCTCTGAAGAAATGAAAACAAATGTTGGACCTTTGACGTGTTAAACTGTGAAATATTTACACCCAGTTATTTGTAAATTAAGAATGAAATATTAGGTTACGTTTAATCTGTGAAAAAGAGGTGAAAATGACCAAATACAATTAGAAAAAAAGAAAAAAAACCCTCTTGAATTACTTTTAGAAGTCAGAATCACAGATGAAAAGTTGGAATGGTGTTTCTGTCTTCTGCACTAACTTTTGCAATATTTTTTTTCGTGTAGAGGCTGAGTGAAAACACTTCTCAGTGTGTGTGTGTGTGATGTCAGCATCCCCTTGAAGACGCAGCCTGCTCATTCTTCAACAAAGAGTTTCAGCTGCGGGGAGCAGCAGGACATCAAACTCCCCTCCACTGATCTTCCTCCAACATCTCAAATCACCACTTCCTCTGGCACGGTTCTATCAGCTAATGATGTTGTTTCTGCCTCTCCAGCCTTTTGTTGCTCAGAGAAATCGCAGGCCTTACGTTGGTCGTAGGTCCTTCTTCGTTCTCGGCCACGCAGCTTTGCAGATTGAAGGAGAGGTCGTTGCAGTTCACCAGGACTCTTTTGCCAAACTTCTCCTCAAACTGCTTCACGTCCGGTTCAATCCCTGAGAAATCGAGTTTCTACAGCACAAGACAAGAAAATCCAAGTTAATAAATCTGAGGTTGGGTGAAGTGTGGGAATGTCCTGTTTGAAGTTACCTGTGTGTCAGGGTCCAGGGTGAACAGCTTCAGTCTGGTCTCACTCCTCATCCTGGACTCGATGTCTCTGGTGCTCTGTGGAGAAGACATTTGAGTTCCTAAATCAGTATAAACACAAAACCATCTGAACACTGTGAGACAGCTCCGTGTGAGACATTTTTCCCTCAGATGTTTTTGTTATTAGGGTATTTTCTTTTCTTTTGCCCCATCTGGAAAGAAAGCTTGATGTTTTATTGGCTCAGTGGGGAGAGTCAGGTGGTACCAGCACTCAGCTCTGCACACTGTAACCTGTCAAACTGTTTTCCAGCAAACAGTAACCTCCACGTCCAGTCCACATATGGCTTCACTGTACTGTACCACTCAGTGCTACTTAGAGCGTTTTTTTCTACAACAGTAAAATAACTCAATTTAGAAAAGAAGAAGGAATCGTAGAAATAAAAAAAAACAAAACATTTTTTTTAACCTATCTGAGGTCCACAAAGACAGGAGCACTCTTCTAAAGACCTTCTGAAAAAAGTGACTTTAAAATCAGTAAACTTAGTTTTTGACCTGAAAAAATATAACTGGTCCTGAGCCACAGCAGACCACAGTGAAAGAATAATTATAATGAATCATAATTAATGTAATTTAAACACAATCCAGGTCTTTTCCAAAATATTTTAGACTCCAATAGCAGAACAATAAAGTTTAAAAAAAAATTTTCTTATAAAAATACAATAATAAATATACTGATCCTTAATGATCCTCCAATCAGTGCAGCGCTACTGGTCCATGGAACAAGGTATGTTTCCATTATTCTATTTTTAGTTTAGTTTAAGTTAAAGTTAAACCAAAGTACATTTATTTATTTTAACTTGAAACATCAGATGATGATGGAATTGCTTTCCCAGATGTTTAATTTATTGGGTTGGTTTCTTTGGATGGGAACCAACCAACACACTGTGAAATTAACCACAATTTAGATTTTACCTAATCACAAAATAACAGGTCTGTGTTTTTTTTCAAGATTAAATCTGCAAAAACAAATGCATGGTTGGGGAAAATTAGGTGTGCAACCAGTGAGTCTTAAACACAGTCATGAGCCACACATTTGTAGCTGAGAGGACGTCATTCCAACAGATTTATTTGCACATAGGATCGTGTGAGAGAGAGACCTACCTGAAAGCTGTCCATGCTGCCAGAGGAACTGTCTGACTTTCCAAGATCATCGTCTGTGGGAAAAACGCAGGGAGTTAGTGAACTGGAACCAGCGGATCACAAAGTCAACCGCGGCGCGCTGTAAAACCTGTCTAATCACATACTGACATGTGAAAAGTTCTGTAAACACCAATTCTACTTTGCAGGAATCTGTCAGGACTGAGAGTGAGATGCTGCAGCGCTCGGTAGCGAAAAAGGAGAAATCTCCCAGATCTGCTGCAGCAGAGGTTTTTGTTTCCTTATTCAGAGTGTGATTAATAAAAGTGGGAGTCAGGGAGATTAGTGGTGCTCTTTTTACAGAGGCATACAGACACGAGGTGAGTATTCAACCTGTGGGTGGTCCGGTATCGAAAAAACCGGAGACTTCACGTCCAGAGGATGAAAGAAGTAAAAGAAACAGGAGATGATGTCAATAAATGTCTAAAAAGGAGTGTGTATTGTTTTTGTGCCATAGGTTTTTTTAAGTAATACGTGGAGACAGGAGATCAGACGGACCATCGTGAACGTCGCCGTTCCTCTTCTCCTGCATGGCGATCTCAAAGCTGCTGTGTAAGATCTTGTTGAGGGTGTTGATCCAGTCCTCCATCTCCAGCTCGCTGTCTGCAGCCAGCAGGTACGTGCTCTTGTCCTGCATCTTCAGCTCGAACGCAAACCTTCGAACCTTGTTGTTCTGCAGAAAACAACCCAGAACAATAGGATCATCAGTGACAGGGAAATGCTGAGCTAAAAAAAAAAAAACACTCTGATTTTCTTAACAATTTCAAAGAAATCACAGAACAAAAAGAATGTTTAGTCTTCCTGTCTAAGTCGTGTACACAGGGAAAAACAGTCAAGGTTTTGTTAAAGATTCATTATTTAAATGATGACGTTCTTCTCTTTTAGTCTCCACATATCCATGAGCTTTTTTTAACAGTTTTTTTTTTCAGCTTGAACCTCTTAACGCTGACACGTTCACTGGCCTAACGCTGACAACTTTACTGACAAATCTAGAGGATCCGTTACATCAGGCTTAATTTGGCTGCCACTAAAGGCTGAAGGACAAAGGCAGCCAAGGCTGAGCAGAATATTTCCATCTGTGAAACAAAGCCTTTCAGCTTCACTGGAACAAAGACAAAGACTTCACGGAGGGAGACGAAGCTGAAGTTACCAGAAAATCACCAGGACCTGCACAGATGAACCCCCGACCTTCGATCTGCCAGGAAGACTGGAGTTACTTTCCCAGCCAGACTTCAACTGAACTGTTCCAGAATATGTGAGCGCTGATTCAGCTGCTGCTTCAACTCTTGACTTATTAGTTTGATTAATAATAAAGGAGAGTTTATCCTTTTTAAAGTAACACGACTGTCGACTCATTCTAGTCATCAGGGACTGAACTGTTTTGCAGTTGTTATCTCTGAGGAGACACAGCAGAGTGGGAGTAACGGGGGAGGGAGGTTATCTACAGGCTGGGGGAGGAAATATGGAGAGAGGTCTTCAGGACAGAAATAAAACAGCCTTAATCACCCATTAGAGCAGAGTCTAGTTAGTTAGGACTACACAGTGGACCAGTCCTCAGGGAACTGAGTACAGTACAGTAATATATTACATGGTGGGTAAATAGTTCAGATATTTGTATTTCATTTTTTTAGGCCTTCGTTAGATCCATTACTGTATAATGATGTTGATTTCTGTTTAAAAGTAAACACCACTGGTTTGAGGCCTAGTGTGATGTCATCGCACATGTCATCACAGCTGCAGAGTTAAACATCTGCAGCTTAGCGGGTTTAGACCACACCTTATACACACACACGAACACACGCACGCAATCATAAAACTTCATGTTGTACATTATAGCTTTGGCCATGTGGTAACGTGACTCGTAGCAGTAGCTTGTTAAAACCCAACACCTCAGTCAGAAACATAAAGACCCCGTGTCACCGTCAAACTCTCAGACCAACAGACTCTCTCCCTATCATTAAACTGTCACCGTCTCGAAAGTCTTCAGTTAGCCAAGACATCTGCTAATTAGCCAATTAGCTTTTAAATGCAAGGCAACACTAGTTCAAAGTGCGAAGCATAACTCATTACGTTGACACAACTATGAACAGACTGTTGAAAGCCGACTTGTTCCTCTGACAATAAAGGCATCACTGGCAAACTGGACGGTTTTGTTTCTCCTCTGTGTTAATTGTTAGCATCATGTGTCCAGACAGCTTCATCAAAGTAGCGACATATATTTGCTGAATAATACAATACAATTTATTTACGTATAAATATACTAAAATTGCATTTACAGACAAATTAAAAAAAATCATAAATTACTTTAGTGCTATCAAAAAAAACAACAACTTTGAACTGTGATTATATGTCCATTTTATTTTAAAGAAATACTGTGAATTAGCTTTTTATTAAGGGACTAACGGAGGGCGTCCATAATCCAAAGAGACACCAAGACGATAGTAAACAATAACAATGATGAAAGATCTCATGTCAATCTCTCTCAGCCTCCCTGACTGCTGATCAATAGCAGCTGTGTGCCTCATCAGGGAAATCAGCCATTTCCCATCTACTGACATCACATGATAGATGACGATGACGAGGATGATGATGATGATCCCAGTGAGGCTCAGCCTTCAGTCAGATGCAAACATGTGGCATCGATTGTGAGGCCGACACAAAGTGCCTGGAAGCGGAGACCTATCGTTCCCCTCGTTTCACCTGATGAGACTCAGCGGTAAAATGTGACCTTGAGGAAAAGAGCAACGAGCTCAGGTTTCAGGGAAATGAACAAGACACGGGCTCACGGCGGTCCATCACAGTCAAGAGTGATTTGATTTGACGTGTCTTCCTTTAAGGCCTTTGTGTTGGGAAATTCATTTATAGACACTGACTGTGAGGAGGAAGTTCATCTGTTAGTTAGACTCTTGTAAAGATCACTTTATTTGCCACAGGGGACATGACGAGGCTCCGCCCTGCGCTCACATGGCGCCGTTGGGGGATATCCCGTTTGGCAGAGCAGGTGTTGTGTCATCTGGGGTCAGTGCACTTTTAACAATCACTGCCGTTACGCAAGAGAAGTCTGGATTGTCCAGAAACATACCTGAACCACGCCCATACAGGAGTCCAAAAATATGGTTCCTTTCGGCTCCTTGGAGATCTTCTCGTCTTTGTAGAAGTTCAAATTATAAGATCCGTCTCCGAGCTGAGTCAGGTGGAAGTATCTCCTCTTAAACGACTGAAAGAACAGAAATGTATATGAGATCTGAGTCCAGAAATTGTCCACTTAATGTCAACTACTACTGCTTTAAAAAATGAGTTTGATTATTATGCATGAGGTAAATACTGAGGTAAATAATGTCTAAATAAACTTGTACTGCAATTGTTTAATACAGACATGCTGTAACTGATAACTGCAAAAATATGTTACATCTTTAAAACTGTTTACACCATTTCGACCATGTTCATCATCAAACGGACTGAGAGCCTCACCCTCATGGTGACGCTGATGGCACTGTTCATGTTCCCTTTGTACAGCCAGCCGTGTTTGGTGATTCCACCTTTCTGGGATCCCAGGGAGGCCGTGTCCTGGAGGAGGACAAACACAGGTGAGAATCTCAGCACAACACATGAAGGAACACAATCTAATGTGGAGAAGATGTCATCCTAAATAAAGATAGAACAACAGACGGCATTTAGAACCACACGGAGCTTTAATGTTGAGAGGAATCGCCATAACATTCTATCATATCTGCTCCAAACACAGTCTGCAAAAGCCGTTAGTGCTAGTTTATAATGACAACTAGCCAAACGTGGCGTAGGTCCGACTCTGTCCAAACAAGCAGGCAGAGGAGAATTACACAAACTGCGGCTGGAAACCCAAATAAATAGTCCAATATTTACAGCAGCGCTCCAACATGAGGAGCGGATCATCTCACATTTGAAAAGACAGAGTGAGAGAAAGACGCCTTTCCCCTGCGACCAACTGTAATGGTTCATCAGCTATCAGCATCTGTAAAAATAAACCATTTAGGTGTGCAATAAAGGAGAAGGACAAACAGCGCAGCTCTGCTCTGGTTTATTTCACCAGGAGAACTGTCATTCCAAATGACTCCTCCCATCTGTGAGAGAACGCATCAACAGGGCTGTTCTCTTGACAGATTTACAAAATTAGTAAAATAAATGTCCTTTCAAGATGTTTCCATCCTGTGTCTTCTATTGTTTTTATTTTTGAGTGTAATAAACAAAGGTGCTGGCAGTTATACTGCAGATATCTAGTGGGGATGGAGCAGCGATGTGGTGGGTTCAGTGTCTGCTCGTCTTTATTCGACACTTGACGATTGACTTCAGCAACAAAGAGGCAGAGAGGACAAAGAACTTCCGCTTTATTCTGCGTGAACTACAAACAGTTCTGAAAAAGAAAACCTTGACTATCCACAAGGTTATTGGAAAGGATTCTCTAGATTCTCCCAGCTGCTGTGTTACAAAAAGATACTAAGATTCCAAGAAACCAAGACACAATGTTAAAGAGTAAAAATGAACAATAATAAAACCAAACTCTGATCAGGGAAAAGACACTGACCTTTGATGACCTGACTTCATTTCAACATTCCAGATTATGAAAGACGAGCAGAACAGAAAAAGAGCGGAACATAAACTCCTCACCTCATCTTTGTCCACGTCCTCGTCCACTTCAAACACATGGACAGCCAGCTTATCAGGCCTGGACACTTTACTGGAAAAACAAGGTCAGTTGACATCAACGGGCGTCTGCAGCACAGCACGTTCAATCACAACCGCTTTAAAGTCAGTGTCTCGAGAACTTTGGCACATTTTCAGGACAGAGCGACAGATTGACGAAGGTCTCTGTAATTTTGAGTCTCACCAAGCAACAGATGTCAGTTTGGATTCATCGGTGACGCTGCAGGATGAAGTACATGTGGAGCGAATCATCTGCAGTCAGCACTGTTTCTGACTGTTTTTGACTTTGCTTTGGCTGTGACTGAGAAACTTCACACATTGACCTGACTGATCATTTTTACTGTGCAGCCTGAAGGAAAAAAAGGCTACAATTTTTGTGGTCTATGGTTTACAAACACACCAACCACTGCCTTTTTTACCCTGCAGGGGGCACTATAAACACAGATGTAATACTGTGTTCTTATTTCTTATTGTTTGTTTAAATTAATATATTCTTCTAAAGTGTCATCTGAGTTGCTGTTCATCCATCAACAATGTTGTGACAAACCGTTCTACAGACATTGTTGCCTTACAGTAATTAATCTGACAATTGTGTTCCACGACACAAAACAAATGTGTGTGGAGAATTAGTCAGTTTGAAGCTGCAGTGGACGAGCCACATAATAATCACTGGTTCACGCTGTTAATTCCTAGTCGTTAGTCTTGTTGCATCATACGTTCGCTCTGCAACCTAACTATTAGCTTTAAGTCGTTTTCTTGTTGACGTAAAGGTCGTGTGTTCTCTGCTCTCCGCTGCCACAGCACTGGCCTTGACTTGGCTTTTGTTTCGTCATTATTTAATCATGTTAATTTCAGGTTTTTTGTTTGAATAGTTGTTTTCCTGTGAGGACAAAATGTTAATCTCAATTCGTACCATAATGTCCCTTTGACAGACATGTTGTCCTGTAATTTCACAAACACATGCATCATGATTGTGGAAAAACAAACTAATTAGAAACCTAGTGAAACACTCTGATGCCGGTCAGTGAATGACAAAATCACAAAGATGAGACACACTTCAGATAAATGTTGTTCAAAGTTTTCAACAATATCCCTGTCAGTGTGTATTGTTCAAACTTCCCCCCAGTGTAAATGACTGCAACACCTTCAAGGTCATTGTCAGCATCATTGTCAGTAAAACGGAGCGTCCAGCTGATGACACAATCTCTGGACAATGAGGGTGGTTTCCACTCTGGATGGAGCTGGGAATCATCCAGCGCGTCATAAAAAAAGGAAACACTCTTTTGTTGTAAGGAAATGAGAAATCTTTCTCTGCGGTGTTTCCTTTTCATTGTAATTAAGTCACAACATTTCATCACATTTCAAACTGCATGTGATTAAAGGAACAGTGCGAATTTTAGCTTCACTGGAGCATAGCCGTGGTGGAACCCTCTGCTGACACCAGCGTGGTTGGTACTTCGGCGTTTTTATACTGATGACTTCACACTTACTGTGGAAGCTGTCGGAAGTCTCCAGAATAGTCCTCATACTTGTAGTTGACCACATGCCAGTCGGACTTGTAGGTCTTGAGGCACTGAGGAGACAAATTCACAAATTCATTCAAAAATACAACGATGTCGTAAGGCATCCTCTGGTATAGCTCGTATTCCAACAGATAAAATGAAGCAGTACCACTGGAAAAGGTAAGGGGGAGCTGTTACGCAAAGTAGTTCACATGTGCCCATAGATGTGGTCATTAATAACGAGTTGTTATTAATGAACAGAATCATTAACATTATCATGAACTACCAGTCGTAGCCAGGTTCATTACTGTCTGAGAAACTCACATTAGCCTAGAAATTAATTCAGTGGTGCCCACTAGTGGATGGATGGATTAAGGCAGCCACACGAGCAGTGACATTTGAAACATGTATTTAAACAAAATAAAATCAAGTGTTTTGTTTTTAAGGAGTTTTACTGGTAATAGAAACACCACTGTATATTCTGTAGTGTATGTAAGGTTTCCATAACAGATGCTTCCAGCACCACAGCTCTGTTGGGGAGTGAACCTCTATCTCTCTGACTTGGAAGCAGACATCTGTTCATTGTTAGTCTGTGACAGGAGCTGCTTGGTGGTATCTTCCGACAGAAACACGGCGGCTCTGACAGGAAAACAACATGCAACCTGACGAGGCGAGCCATCAGGAACACGGAGGCCCTCGCTGAGCCGTATCTCCACAGCTGTCCTGCTGATGTCACGCCACACATGACCGGAACTTTCTGTATCTTTATGACTTCAGAAAAGCTCCTGAAACATCGACCTTTCACCCAGAAGGTGAAACATCAAGAGCCTGCTCCTGTCTTGACGATTCTCTTCCCTCCTCACACTCATAATTCACGACTTTATCAGCAGCGACAGGAAGTGTTACCAAACATCTCAGTCTGTAATGATTTGGCTAAAAAAAGAACAAAGACTGTGATGAACTGTCACAATATTCCGTGACTCAGCAAGGCATAATTGACTGCGGATAATAACCAGACCTGTGATAAAAACTGTGGAATCCAGAAAATAATTGGACTTTTATCTTCTTGTGATTCTTTGGTACAAAATGGAATTTACAGGAAATGGAATTTCAGCTCAGCTCCTGTAAATCACTGTCTAACTTAATTTGTCATTTAGAAACAGTTTCCACAGGAAACACAGCAGTGATAGACGCTGTTAGTTATCAGCTGTATTTGAACAGGTATTTTCACCGTGCAAAGATAGGAATTACTTGGGCGCCACAATGATTTGAAATTCAGCATCTGTGGTGAGCTATAAAACAAATTATTTATCAAATATTGAAAAAGACAATGATTCAAAATAACAAGAGGTTTGGGAGTTGTTCAGGTGATTGTCCTGTGATGATACTTACGCTCATCGCTGATTCTTTAAAGATAAACAGTTTAAAACATTTTGATTTGTTCTATTGGTTTCAGCCGGACTGGTGGATTCCCCCTGGACCAGGGGTTAGAATGAATTCAAATAGAAACCCAAGTGAGTTCATTCAGTTCTGCCAAATGTAATTTTTAAATCAGCTCACCTCTTGGACAAACAGACTGTGGGCCTCCTTCTCTGCGTTGTCAGGGACCGTGGGGTAAATTGTTCTGCCTTGCCTCCTCAAAGTTGAAATCTGCAAACAAAAGCCAGATTTACACAGTGAAGAAAAAACACTACAGAGAAATGACAATAAAACACACCACAAAACACAGTAAAAGTTGAACAAAGTGAAAGAGAAACCAAAGTAAATGTGGAAGACATTTCTGCATTTTTTTTTTTTTTTTTTTTTTACATTATTGCACTTTGTGGTCACAGCTGGACACAGTTGCCGTGGGTGTTCTTTTAAATATTATTCCGTGCTCGGGAACGCACTGGTGTCTTTCTGAAAGTTCAAAAAGGAAGAATGTGAGGGAGGCAGGATGCTTGTCCTCGCTGTAAAGCTCCAGGAGCAGGACACACCCCGAGTCTGGCTCCCTGCCACTGTTCAGGAACTCTGAGAGTGATCAGCCGCCCAGCATCTCCAAAACACTGTGTTGAAAACTTCCAAGAAACCACCAGTAGGGGTTTCACAGAAAGAGCTGCTTATATCACTTTCAACATGCTGGTTCACTGTACTAAGTTGAAGTGTTTTTGACATGAACCTACAGGCATCTGCATTAAATACCTACAATGGATTCATACGTGGTAGAATTGGAGTTTCTGTGATGTTTATCACATGAAAACTTAAAATAATAATAATAAAAAATGACTATTTTCATGTTGACTGTGATATCACTCATCTGATTTAAAACATGTATTCAGATCTTGTCTTAATTAAACTCAAGGGACTTTGGTAAACACAGAAGCAGAAAAAACAAGAAATTGTATTTAATATTCATGTTAGAGAGGGTTCTTATCGCCTCTTTGGGCTCCAGGTCTGGAAATGTCTTATATAATCAGTCAGTATTATAACGTCTTTATCGTGAAGTTTGTGACCAAATTATTTTTTTCTTGATATCACACCTATTTGTTATTGTCCTTGTTCTTGTCTTAATAATGATTGACCACATGTCAGTTTTATTTCTTAGCTCTGACTTCTGAAGCAGAGGTCTCTGCCGTTCGTCTGTTCTGCCAGGTTTCCTGTAGGAGAGATGCTAATCTTTGCAGCCCAAGCAGGAGAAATAAACATCAATGGAGGTGAGAGGGAGCAAAGGAAGTGTGCAGCAGGAAGTCTTCACTGAGGGTAAAAGTCAGAGGGGAAAACCACGGTATTCTCACAGGAAATAATTCCTAGTAAGACTTCTTAGAAGTGCTCTTACACAGTGGGCTGTGGTTTAACAGCAAATGGGTCCAAATATCAACGTTTAATGGTTTAATGAAGCAAGAACAGCACAGATGAAGATCCAGTGTTTATATGATGTTGAAAAGCTAAAGATTCGCCAAGGATTTATCTTCCATGGATTCAACTAAAGCACAGACCAATGATTAAAAAATATTATGTCTTAAAGGAGCCAGAATTGATGTGGAAAAAGATAAATATATCGAGGCAAAATGCTAAAGTACTGTTAGTAAAAACAAGGAGTGACAGAATCGAAAGAGTTCTAAGTTTGTAAAATTGTCAAATGTGACTAAAAGTTAGCCAAAAGATCTGACTTAAAAAATGTCCCAGAAGTTCTTAAAAAAAAAACCAAAAACCCACATGTTCCTCTGCAGTTCTCCCCTGATGCTGGGATAACAGAAAACTGTCCTCCAACGTTGGTTGATGGCCGTAAAATTATTAGAATTCAAATCAATATCTAAATAATTCTGAATATAGATCTCAGTTTTCACTCTAGACTAAACACCATTATTTTTACATTGAATAAAAGCAGCCTTGTTTTTATTTTTGACTGAAAATAGAAACAAATTGTGATTTTTTTTAAGGGGATGGGCACAGACCAAGGCTTTGTCCCAAACCACGAGGAGGAGGAAATAAGGACCCCTCCTGTTAATCCAGGACATAATTTTCCTGAAGTTTAGACACAGGGCTCACAAAGACCTGCAAAGAACTTGTGCCAACAGCTCCTAGATCCAAAACAGATGGAGATAAATGCAAAAGGAACCTGTGAGTGCATGTGACTCTGACCGTGCCAGCAGGATGGAACAGTCGAAAGTTATTTTTAAAAGTGACAAAGGGCCAACAATAAGATTGATGTGAAACAGCACAGAAATGGTTTCTGTCTGTTTAGGCTTGGGTTTAAGAGTGGATTCTTTACACACGCTGAGGTTTGTGGTTTGAATACACACTGGTTATGCCTCATCTCACTAAGAGCAGCAAACAGCAAGAGCTCTAGGACGGATCCAACACTTGCTGGCGTAAGAGTCACGGCGGCAGAAGCAGATGTGCGACTCAATCACTGTGTGCCTCTGTGTCGCAGTCACAGTCACCTGTCCGCCCTTTGACAACGAAGCAAATGTGTTTAGAGCTGGTGTGGCTGTGTCGACAGTGAGCCGGAGGAGTGTGGTACAAGAGGAGAGCAGAGTCAAGGCTGCCCCGCTGCTGTCACTGAGCAGCCACCTGCCAGGCCCGTCACACTGTTAACAATGCATGACTTATTCCAGAGCCAGATCCAAACTTAGAACCACTCACTTTTTATGAATTTTTTTTTTTTTAAACTTTTTTTCCCCACCACTCTGGCACTGTCGTACCCACTAATGAGAGGCTGTACACTACAGTGATTAGTGACGACCTGGAGATCTGCTGTCCAAGGTACAGCCAAACCAAACATGGTCTAAAACTGCAAAATAAAAAAAAAGCTGGCATTTGTTACCATATGAAATACTTTTACTTGTAATTAAGTCTTTTGGAGTAGGTTTAATATTAATACACACACTTTGTAAATATGTTTTACTTCATGTAACAATGTTTTACTTCATTTTCAGTAGTGTTTTAATACAGCACCAACCCTGATGCTTTTTGCTAATATCTGATCATCGAATATTGGAAAATGTTTATATCGGACATCCCTAATTATAAGTAATTGGTTTTGCTTTAGATTTTTAAAAAAAAATCTGTAATAATAATGAAACTATTAAACACCAGGGTTGGTATTTTACTCTTTAACAGGAAGATAATCCAGTCATACATTAGGCCGATTTCTCTACCATTAACAATAAGAGAAAGACACTATAAAACATCCAACAACCAGGCAGTTTGGATAACGCTCCCTCAGACTCAAAAACATTCCAGAACTCATCCGCACTCGTCGGAATTTCCAGCTCAAAAAAAGAAAAAAAAAGAAATCAGGAAAACTTGGAGAGTGTTCTGTACATAAATGGCTGCCAATAACATTCACACACAGATTGAACCAATTGAACAGACGGCCCCTGACTCCTCTCTTACTATAGTGTGTAAGGATGTAAACAGAGGGAAAGCCTCTGTGAACCACTCCACCCAGTATTCACAGCTTTGACCACGCCTGGGTCCAAGGAAACGGCTGCAATATCCAAACAAACCCAACAAAGAAAACACGCAAGTGGGAGGGAACTAATGATGTTGGTCAGATAACAATAAATATTCTGACCTTGTATGGTAATGGTGTAATGACTGAAAACACTTCTTAACGACTTAGTGAACAGACAAATTAACACTAATTAAATCTGGGGATTTTTTTTCCCACAATACTTTTAACAACACTGTTTACATGCAGTTTAGTCAGGCTGAAGATGGAGCTCAAGGCAGAACTTGACCCACTTCCTGTGTTATATTTTTGTTCCTAAAAAGAATATTCCCAACTGTAAAACCTAGCGATATAATTAAACCACTGAGTTCATCAAATGTGGAACTGACCTCAAAGTCCTCCAGAGGGAACTGCAGCATGTCTCTGAGGACATCACTGAGGATCTGTGTCTTTCTCTGCACCAGCACATTTTCATAGTCCAGCGGTTCGATCACCTTTGGTTTAACCTGGAAGACACAGATGGACACAAACGTTAAGAATCTTTCACTTTTATAGCATCGATCAAAACAGTGACAGTGAATGAGAAGAGAGGAGAAATGACAGTGAAATATGTAGAAATGTCTCTGTTTAGATGCAAACTGAAACTGACACAGATGTCAAAGCTGATGACGACAGTAACCTTTACTCACGGACACTTGTTGTTTTCTTGACTATCTGTTAAATAATCTAGAGTACATGTAAAAAGTACTGCTATTATACTGAAATAATGTCTGAGTTAAAAAAAAGAAAATATTGTAAGTATAAAAAACAATGTTGTAAAGACAAATTTAAAGGCAAGAAAGGGAATAAAAAGAAAAGTTTCAGAATTCCAAACAAGGGTAATGGTGAGCTAATCAAATGTCATTTTCACATGTCATTTTTTTTTTTTTTTACATAATCACAGACTGAATATCCAAACGCTTACACCTCAGCCTATTTTCATGTTGAATGACTCAACAGGAAGCTGTAACCAAGTGAAGCTCTAGCTGCCTCTGAATTTAAATGAAAGTGTTTTTTTTTTTTTTACATAATCACAGACTGAATATCCAAACGCTTACACCTCAGCCTATTTTCATGTTGAATGACTCAACAGGAAGCTGTAACCAAGTGAAGCTCTAAACCCACTGTTGTGTTTAATGGCTGACTCCAGAACAGATGTGGTTGAACTGTCAGAAGGTGATTATGGATTCATGGTTTATCATGCCACAGCGTGTCATAATGTGTCAGCCTTAATCCGCAGCGCATGAGCAGATAAGGTTCGACGGGGTTTGTGAAATGCACAGAGTGAAGGGCTGTGCTGTCATCACTTGTAGCTGATATGATTGGACAGGGAGTCGTGGCAGTGGGAGACTGTCTTCTCCGTACAAAAGCATCCACATCTGGGTCTGATAATATGTAGTAGCATGATGTCAGAGGGAGAGTCACGGCTGTAGACCTGCTAAAATACATGTTTGTAGCAACCTTTGTTAATAACAGAGCACAGGTTCACAAAGGGGGCAGAGGGGCAGGCGCTGGTATCAGTTACAAGGACAAGGAAGGGGACAGTGGAGGGGAGAAGGTGCCACCATGTCTGCAGATGGAGAAGCTCGTCATGTTATCGGTCGACCATTTTCATCACAGCTTCATCTGAACACACACCGTCTCATACAATAGTTAAAAACACGATGTAGTAATGAGGTCCTATGTCCGACTGTATAGTTAGATTAAATCAGTGTTTAACCAATTTGAGAATAAATGTTTACATTTAAGATGACGCCATCTTGGCTAAGGTTCGCTACATTTACATCATATTTAATGTAAATTAAACGAGTTATGTATGAGCTGGCGTTTTGTTATTTTAAGAAAGTTTTAATTTTTAATCTTTGAGGTTTATCTTATTTCAGCAATAGCATTGTCAATTTTTGACACAATTAGCAATTAGCGATTCTTTGGCTTCTTACTAGCATTAGCTTTGAGCTATTTTGAGTCCAGCTTCTAGTGTGAAATGTAATATGGCTAGCTTTAAGTAATGTTTTAGCAATTTACTAAACATTTTTGCCAGTCTTGTCTCTTTTGAAGTAGTATGTAGCACTCTCTCAAGGATTTAAGTACCTTTAAAAATTCGACCAATGCAGTCACACTTCTGACGATTATCTCTAAACCACAGGAAGGAAACGGTAGACCAAACAAATCAATCAGGAAGGGATTAAAAGATGTCTGACAGATAGGACGAACATTTGTTTCTTTGTATCCCTCCAGGTCCCACGTCAGGTGAATCATATCTGCTCAGGAATGTGGTAAACGAATCACCGAGTCATAAATGTGAGGGTCTGTGAGTGGTATTACGCAAGATGCTATGAATGTAAAAGTAAGTTTGGAGGAAAAACAAAAGAGAGCTTAATAAGGAACAGTCCTGCGGGGAGTTGAGAACCACACCTAAGAATAACAGGAGAGCCTGCTGAAAGTGAAGGAGTCCAAAACGAAGGCGTTAAAGCAGTACGAGCAGCTGATGAAAGTTTTGACTCCAGAGATAAGAAAGGTGAACTCCTCCCAAGCAGCAGTGATGGATGAGATCATTGCAGTCTATTGTTCCCAACCAGAACCCTCCAGGCACTTTCACATAACTTTGTGTAAGACTGGAGGTGGTCAACCACACTGTGTAACCATCAACAACACTGCTGTTCTTTGATCCCACAACACTGACCTCACACCGGACGGTCCTGACATGAGCCATTGTGTTATCGTTAATTTTCTTATTTGGATCCAACTTTTATGAAGCGCTTAATTTTTACCTGACTATATAGTAAACTTTGTCTTCATGCTGTGACATGTACTGTAGAGTGACTTCATATTCGGTTGTATATGTTGGTAGAACATTTGCTCAGTGTTCTCAGTCTCTGTCCTATTTTACCATTAAAAACAAGTGAAACAGTGTTTTATATCATGGGGAAAAGCTGGGAGACACACGGAATTAAATCAAATTCATCGACATCGTTTAGCTTCTCAACCCAGGATTATATGTTATCTATAATTTAAACTTTGTTAACAAAATCATAACAGAAAAATGTAAACCACACGCTCTGGGTCTTTATCATCCACTGGTAACTCAGAGTTAAAAACCAGAAGTTCCTCCAGAGCAGAGCAGCTCTTGACTTTTTCCCATCACTGCACCTCCTCACCACCAGAACAACAGAAGTGTATGTGAAGCCTCTCTGACAAAAAACTAAACTCCAGATCATTGGCTTCTACAGCTACAGAGTAAATACACATCTGTACTCCTTCATCTCAGGACACTCGAGCCGACTTTTAAATTCAGAGCCAAATGAAACGTTTCACAAGCCCAGGTAGGCTTTAAACATAAACCCAGGGAAACAATGTGCTCCTTCCTCAGAGCTGGTAAAGTCCAACAATCCTCGGCCCCAGTGCTAACACTGCAGATTTTTAATATGAGCTGGCGCTGCTGTACAGTCTGACAGAGATGAAAAACACCTGACACCTGCCTGAGGACTTTATGACTGTTGTTAACATTTATAGCAAAGTACAATGTGAGATGTACAAAAAGAGGATCAAGTCTACAGGTCTGTGTACACAGTTGAACCAGTCCATTATGTCCATACTGGAGATATTTGAATGACTTACCGCCACCTGTGGCACTGACTCTGCCTCAGCCTCAGTTGTGGGCAGACCTTTGTACTGCTGTGGACTCTCAATGACCAGCTCCTTTTTAGGAGCTTTACCCGCTCGTCCTTGCATCGTCAATAGCTGTTGTTTAATAAATCAGAGCTAAATCCAAAAGAAAAACGAGCGGCCTGCATATCCAAACAAAAAAAAAAAAAAGTTTCTCCTCGCTCAAACTCATACACTCAACTTTACTCCTCAGTGTGCTTCTTTGACTGAGAGCGGCCGTCTCACACATCCAGGCTGAGGAGGAGTAGGAGGCGGGGGGGAGGAGGCCCCTCCCACACTCAGCTGTGCAGCCTGGGGGGAGGTAAAAACACAGACACACACACACACACACACACACACACACTACAGCTATCCCAGCCCAGAAGTATCCACCTGCACAGCGACACAGGGTGGACGACAGCAAACAAAAGCCACACATTCCTCAGGTCTGAGAGTCTGGTCGGGGACTGTCCACACCTTGTGTGGGAGCAGCTGACACAAGAGAGGGAGTGAATTTCAACGCAAGGAACGACGTGAGACAAAATAAAAAAAGTTGCTTCAAGGATCAGTTGAAAAACTCTTTCTGTCTCAGATAAGGGATCACGTCTGCGTCTCACACAAGACGAGACCAGAGATTTGATCAGAAAACAAATGTGCTCAGAATTCGTCCTGGGTCTCAGTCAGAGCTGCGTTATCACCAATCAGTCACCAACTGACAGACAACCGTGAGTCACCGCTGTGTTTGCTGTCGCTGGTTGACTTTAGCCCAGATAGTAATTGTTGGTTGATCAAAGAATTGGCCCGCACAACTCCTGTCTCTGCCCCATGTTGATGCAACTGCCAGAGGGGCATTCCTACATGACGTAGTCCCCGTCAATCCACCTGGGAGTGGGCTCGACCTACAGATTCCTTGGCGGGCCACAGCAGGGGAGGATGTTATTTTTTCACGCCTGCTTCTGAGCTTCAGAGGGGGAGCACAGCTGCTCCCCTTCTACTGTCACATTTTCCAATGGGCCCCACACATGGACTGCTTATCAATATAATCATCATCATCAGAGTATTTCCCAATTCCCACATACTGTATAACACAATAAACCAGCAGCAGGTCAGGATAATGGATGGTCATTAGTTGACATCACTATTATTAGCAGAGCCAGACCAGCATGTGTTTGTGAGTGTTTTTATACTAATATGGTCTAAAGTAATCTCTAGCTTGTAGGTCGCAGCCCACAACAGCCACAACAAATAAATGTTTATTATACAACTCCCAACATCTGCCCTTCGCAGCCGAGTTGTTACCCAACTCATTGGCCTAATAAAGTATAAATTATTCAAATGCTTAGCGTTTGATGTCGGTTATAAATACATTATAAATGATAACCGTTTACCAGCCTGAGACCACTGGGGCAGCCAAGCAGTGAAGGGCTCCGGTGTCAGTGGCCTCTGACACTCTGTGTCAACTATTTGTACAGAAAAGGAAACACACTGACTGACACCAGAAACACATGTCTATGTGTATACACTTTGACTTTTGACTGCTCTTCATTTGACCCTAAAACCATGTTTACACCTTCTGACCTCTGTTTGATTGATATAATTTTTGAAGCAAACTGGAATGACAAAAAAATGGAAACTCTTTTTAGCCAGACAGACAAATGGGGGAGGGGGCAAGGAGGGGGAGGTGTGTGGAGCTGGCCTACATATCATTTTAAAGACCCTTGGGTTCTTTAAAATTATACTGTAAGTAGATCAGGGCCCAGCTTTAACCTAAGAAATCACATCAGGCCTTGTCTTTTATTTTTACCCAAGTGTATTTGTATTCGTCCATACATATACTATTATAATTATAAGAGAATTCGACACGACATCTCTGACCTCCTGTTCAAGTCCCACTGTGTACAGACAACTCCACATCATATGGAGTAGTGTTGGTATCCTTTGGCCACTTGGACGCCTAAACACGTTTGAAACCATTCTTTGTTGTAGATTTCTTTCCATGGAAACAATACAGATTTGATTCCTTCAGCTGCGGCTGGCACTCTGGATTAAAGCGGCCCATTGTTGCAGCAGAGGAAACACATGTTTCTCATCAAACGTAGATGAATATGCCCGGACGGGTATTTACGTAGGATCCAGTCTGATAATTGAATTGAAAGGATCGTATACATATGTGTATATTGTAACTGCTAAACCAGTTCAAAATGTTTGCAGAGACTCATACAACTGACAGACAGAATCCAATTGGAAATAAACATAAATCAAAGATTTATTCCCATCGTCTCATGGAATGATTAAATTAAATTTTGTGGCTTCAGAGACTCGTATTACTGGAGTGGAGACAAGTCAATTTATGTTTTGGGGTCAAGTCACTTTACAAAACATTAACCACTCGAGTCATTTGACGCATATCAGTAGACACAATATAAACTATTTTTTATTAAAATCATTGTAAATATAAAAACAAAGAAACCCTGAATGAACACGGATTACATCATTATTAACACATTAATCAACTAATGCTGGGCTAAAAAAAAGTTTGTTTTCCTTTTGTTTGTGGTTTTTAGAAAGTAAGCAGGAATAACGGAGAACTTCCACTTATGTAACAGAGTCTTGATGCAATCAGTAGAGTTTCCCAGCGTGAGCCAAAGCAAAAATGGGGTGTAACCTGGAATGTAACGAAAACACGAGCCGAGCCTCACCACCCTGGAAAAAACAACAGCAACAGGACACAGCGGGACATCTGCTGACTCTCAAGGGAGGTTTGAAAATATTACTTTAAAATGGAGATATCTGTGACACTGTACTGTGTTGTCAGTACTTCATAAGTGTCAGTAATCAAGAAATGTGGGCGTTTAATCCAGGAATGACAGTGACCTCATCATGAAGTAACAGAAACTGTGTTACATATGAAATATTATCAGCCAAGGATAGAAGAGAGACTGGATCACACGTGGATTTAGGTGAGGCAGTGCAGGGAGTCCATGCATTAGTTTTATTTTACCAAGCAGTAGATAGAAGATTGGGTGGTTTTAAACCTGGGCTTAATTATTGTGGTATTTTACCATCCAATGGACACAATAAAGACTGAAATAGTTGCAGGCAGAGTGAAGCAGGAGGAGAGAAAATATTAAGTTACAGGGGAAAAGCACCTAAAGTGAGTGGGAAGGTTTAAAATATCTGAAGGTAGTGTCTGAATAACAGACAGCGGAGCCGTGGGTTGGCCTGAAGATGCTGAGGGTTTAGGTTTATACTGTTAGGGAGGCGAGGTGCAGCTGGTTTGGACATGTGGCAAATGAACAGGACAACATATGTTAGAAATGGGAAGAAGAAAGATGAGGTAAGAGTTGGAACTGACGACTGGGTGTAATGAAGGAAGATGATCGCCGACGGCAACCAGTGAAGAAAGCAGCCAAAAAACCTGCATTAACTCTGGTTTCACTCAATGAAAGTGAATGTACAGTTTATTTCTATATGGAGTCTGTCTATAAACAGAGGAACTATACCAACCAGGTGTGATGGACTACAGCAGGGTCTCAAACTCCGGGTCTGGGGCCACTTCAGGCCCACAAACCCCCCTCATCCAGCCCAAGACTAGATTACAAGAATAACTGAATTTAACCCTTGATGTTGTTTATTTATCTATTTACATTTATTTATTTATGTATTGTATCATTAAAATGATTTAGGTTGTCATTTAAGAAGAAGAAAAGAATGTGTACTAGCTGTAGTATTACACAGTATTTATCAGACCAAAGGTGTCTTACTGTAAACATGTTTTTAGGTTTACTATACTTCTTAGCAAATGATATAAGAATTGATTGAATTGAAAGAATTTTGACATAAAGAATTACAGACTTTGATTCTATGTCATAGAGTCATTTCATGAGCTAAAAATAACAAAAGTCTCAGCACTCAGTAATAAAATCTGATTGTTCCACTGTTATAAAACTATTACATAACCATTACAGACCAACAACACAAACTTAAAGACAATAATTGTCAATCAATACAAAACCCTAAATGTATTTAAAGGTATTGGATGTAAAAAGCTCGGCCTGGAATTGTTGGGGAAATCAAACCATGGCTGCTGGAGTGTCTTTTTAGCTCATCAGCTTGAGTGCTGGAGATAATGGTCCCATGTATCAGTCAGCAAATGAAGATGCACACACACACACACACACACAGAGAGAGAGAGAGAGCACGTCAATGCGTTTACGCCTGAAACCTTTAGAAGCAACTTCAGGACGGCTAAAACATCTTAGGAGGAGGAAGCAATCACCGGGGTAAACAAGCCTACGGCCGAGGAAAGGGTTGTTGTTTCATTGTAAAACCATTAGAGGCCATGACAGGAAAAGTGTAAGGTGTTGACAGATGAGCTGTTTAAGGTCCTGAGAAAATGTAACTGTAAATACGATACGCATGTAACTCGTTTATGCATACATTAGAGTCTGCGTAATTAAATAATTAATCGTGATTAATTGCACTTCTTATTCGACTTAGGTGTCGCGGAAGTGAACTAGAGGTCTTTAAGTAACTAAGAAGGGTACAATTCAAGGCATTTAAAAAGCAAACATATTTGTCTGTAATTATTAGATTGAAACAAATATGTTAAAGTCAAGAGTGTAACATTTTATGGGAAGTTTCAGTAAGAAAAATAACACTTAGTTTGAAACAAAAAAAAAGTTCTATAGTATATAACACTGAAAAATATCAACAAATATCAAGCCTGATATAACACTTTGAGTCATTTACCGTGCGGATGCTGACCCATTTACCGGGAAAAGAAACTCAAGATAAACTATTGATAACTAGAAATCAATAAACTTTACTGTACGGTAGTAATTTAAAAAGAATTGCTGTGTAAAAAGAGATTCCATCCTCCCGACCAATGACATCATTGTTCTGCCTTTCTTTGTCACAACAAACATTGGACAAAACCATTCAACATTTGACAGATACTATTACATCCAGACTGTTTGTCTCAAACATTTAATAAAATCAAAGGAGAGAAAAGTGAGACGTTATAAAAGCAGAGGATGACGACATGTAAGCAATTAGCAGCTTAGCGTGGGAAACCTGACGCTGTCGGATTTACAGTGATGTGTGTGTTGTATTTTTTTAAAAGTCAAATTTATTTGAAAAATTATAGTAGCTCCTGGAGAAAAAAGAAATGTACTTATCTACATGGAAGGAGAAAGCAAAGCTGCTTTAATTCACCCAGTTAAAAAGAGAGCCGCAGCCAAAGTAGAGCATTTAATTACTTTCTCCCAGATCAGCCTCCCACAGGCAGCTTCTCTGTGAATGTGAGTCTAAGTGACTCTGTGTCTGGCCTTTAACCTCGTTCTTTGTTTGAAATTCCCAGCAATAATGACATGCAGCAATCAGTGGGGGATTAAAAGTCATGCATGATGGTCTGTATCTCTTTATACCAAGGCTTAATGGAAACTTTAAAAAGACAGACGACAATTAAGGACAGAATCTACTTCTCACCAAAGAGGCTCACTGCAGCCACTGCACATTATTGTACTGTCAAATCTGAGTTCAGTTGTATATAAATTTATACATTTTCATAAACAGTATAGATGTTAGCAAGTAACCAAAAACAACAGAGTACCTTTTGGTTCTGTAGACCTTTAGAACCCATGTTTATTGTTTCAGAACAATAAACCCATTTTAGCACCATAATGTCTCACCTACAAGGACTGTCTAACTTACTTGCTAACAGCAAAACAAGATGATAGTGCCGATGACACATTTTTATTGGTGAGTGATTTTAAACAGATTTTCAGTCTTTACATTAAAATAAGAATTTAAATACATTTTAAAATTGGTCCCCGGACCTCAGTTTGGGGTCTGTAAGAAAAGGCTGGGATGGGACGAGGTTTAAAAACTCAACACTCCTGTGATGAAGGTGATGTGAGCCATCACTGCACTCATTTACCAACAGTCGTCTGACATTGGAACAGTTGACGCTGCATGTTTGAATGATAAGAGCCTCACTGAACCAGGAGAAACCAAACTGTCCTTGGCCCAGTTCCCTGCTCTCAGCCACTGTCACTCAGCCTGAGCTCCCTGCTGCAAATCTGATGAAATAGCGACGGATGTACGTCACACACATGCAGCAGCGGGTAAACACAAACAAGAAAGGGAAGACAAGCTGGTGCCAAGCAGCAGAAGCACTGCCAGGCCTGCC